TATATATGTAGTAGGTAAAGTTTTCGAATGTGTAGAAGTCGGCTTTTTAGTATTATCATCTTGAACTTCTATTAATTAGAAATTTAATAGAAGTTCTATATGTCCGCAATTCGACAATGCAGGGCAAACTTCAAACCTCAGGGTTGTCGCAGTGGCGTTGCGACGCTACAGTGAGAAGCATCGACAAGAACGGAGAAAGCCTTTAGGGAACTGGGGAATGAGAGGTCGTGGGAGTTGACGGGGTTTCTGGGATTCGTAGAACATTCGCGGATGTTTAGCGGCGGTTATCTATTAAGTTGATCGCTCCTCAAATCTGTTACATGGGTCCGCATGGAAAGGTACTGATAGGAAAGAGGCTGGATGTCGAAGTCGCTGAACAGTTACACCTGGATCCTCAGAAGTCAATTCTCCCATAAAGTACAGAGGGTACGCCAGCCACCCAAAATAAACGAGCAAATTTTAACGTGAAGTAGAAATAGATATGTGCCATGTAATAAATCTGTTTTGTCTAGGAGACAGTCTAGTATGTGCAGTAATATATATATATATATATGTGTTGAGGGATAAAATAAACTTTACGTACAACATAATTGCATTTTACAATGATTCTAGACACCGAATAGAAGTATCTTCTAAAAATTACATTAAGATTTTAATCTAATAACTCTTCCCGCTAATACTCCTATTTTCTTCCAGTCATTCATCCACTCCATCCTCTTCTATTTCTAACTTGAATTTCATCTACACCTCATAATAGAACTTTTTGACCTTTTGCAGCATTCAGACCTCCTCCAAACGACAAATTTGATAATCGAGCACATCATGAAGTTTGATTGCCCCAAGCATAATAGGAAGGCGAAGTTCCAAGTAGTTCAGCTCCTCCTGGCAGGTTTTTTAAAAAAATTACAGGTTTACTGGTAGTTGATTTGTTTGTAATTTTCGACATCCTTGAAATTAAGCCATTATCAGATTGACGAGCGAGTATTGAGACGAGTTTGAGAGTCTATAAGATGTACCATTGATTCATTAGTTTCAGGCAAAACGATCTTATAATTTTGGATAGTTTTTTACATAATGAAATCCAAGAGGTAGGATCGCTGAGTGACCTGAGCTTCGGCGAAATTTCTAAGAAGGGCTCGCGGTCTACTTAAACCGACCACTTATGTTTAGTAAGCGCTGATGTACTTTATGTCGTTTTGAACAGGAACAGGCCTTTTCGCGGATTGTAACAGCAGCTGGTACAATGGGACAGCTGGTACAGAGGGGTACAATGCCACACAAAGCTTCAGCATCTTTTGATTTGTTTTCTATATTCGATACAAACTAGACTGTCAAGCAAGATAGCTATCCACTGGCGTGTCATGAGCAATTGCTTTACTGTTAAAACAATGCCTACTTTATTTTACTCGAGCAGCGGTTTATGCTGAATAGATACAATTAGGGCTACAGGAATCCTAATTTTATATACTTGTAAACAATAGTTAGCAATTGAAATCATTTAGTAATGTTATACGCTTTATTTGTGAGGACCAACCGCATGGCACTTTAGTGCGAATAACTGGATAAGTTCCCCCTGACACCCAAATGAACCCATTGCCGAAAAAAAAGAAAACGTTTTACCAGCATGAAGAGATGTTCAAGGCACAATCGACATTTTTTTAACCCAAAAATGGTCACATTATTTTATGTAACAGAAAATAATGTGATAATAGTAATAATAATAATAGAAGTAGGCATTATAGGATGTCCGTTTGGTGCATCTGACTTACCGACCTAGAACGCAAAGTTTTATGTATTCATTGTACCACAAATGCTTGATCGAATCAATGATTTAACTAAAAAGTCGTTTTTACGTCTCCCGTACACGATTATATTGCCAGTATGCAGTATTTGTAAAAATGGCTCTACAAAAGGCGCTTGAAGTTTGATATTACGGGAACATTGACGAACCTAGTGGACGAGTTTGCGTTTTGGCTTATGTAAAATTTCCGCTGGTTAACGTTATCGGGACGTTGATGTGGTCGATCACACTGTGAATCTATGTCTGTGCTTTTTTCCAACGATTAGACGGTCTTGCTATCAGTGATTGCATAACTGTCTATAGCACCTCTTGCCTCCTGCATGTCTATACGCGAGTCTATAGACGAACCGAATGTAGATTTAGGGGCGCGTTCAACCAACTCTTGTTAGCCAGGGCTACCGCAACAGTCTCGGCGGAGCGTAATTATTGTGAGAACGTGTCTCAGAGGCGGATGGGGTCATTACCCCTGGAGCGGAAATGGGACCGATACAGATCTTTTTGGTCAGGAACGCACAACGGGGCTACCGTCGTCACCCCTAATTCTGGCTAGCAAAAACCTAATGCTTGCCCAAAACACAGCAGTCGTACATCAGTAATTATTTTTACCGGTTACCATTTATAAATACTGCCGTTATTATAAGCCGGAATAAATTGATAAGTATGACTACACAAGCTATTCGAATACAGCTAAAGACTTCCTGTGATTTTCTCCTCTCTCTCATGTAGCATAATCTCTTGAAAGATTATGCTACAAGTCTTTCGACTTCTTTGCTTGTCCTATAAATACATAGAACGTCATCTTCTATAAATCTAATTTATCCGTGTAAACCTATCATACGAAAATGGTCCTACTTTCACTGTCGTTACGTTCGACTGAAATCCTTCGTTGTTTGTTATGGTATTGAATTTTAAAAAATGTTGGCCTCTGCTTTCTAAGAAGTCATCAGAAATAAGTCTGACTTCCGTGTCCGACACTCGGACTCTCGATCGAAGCTCTTAAGCCGATTCAAACTATTATTGTGTAATGTTCTATTAGAACGTATGAGCTTGCAATGCATCACGTAACACCCACAATCTGCACCCTGCCTTTTATGTACATAGATATTCGTTACGCGCATAGCTCATCAATATAGAGAATAGGAATAAATTGAATGTGCCGCCGAACTTGTAGCTCTTGATAGTTCCCTATCTAGATTCGTCCAGTAACCGCCGAAGAGTTACGTTTTTTTCTATTGTCCGAAACTCTGAGGTCAAAAATCAGAAGTGTAATAATGCCTCACAAACCTGCCGCATTATTACTATTATGATTAGCTAACTATGAAGTAGCGAACTGCACAAACGATTTGCTTGTTCGAAATGACATTGTTACTTGGGGAAGATGCGGATAAATCCACTTCAACTGGGACTGTGTTATATGCAGTCGTAAATGAGATGAAGTTACTATCCCATTTGTTAGGGACGTAAACGCTACTTCGGTGATGGCGTACGTACGTATTTTGTCTTTTACGGCCCCATTTTCCTGGAATGAGCCAGGTTCATGGTTAGAATCACCCTACGATAGACTGTGTCTACAAAAGCACAAAGGATCAGTATATGGATGCCCTACGACCAACGCTTGAGTGTACGTAGTTCGCCGCCACGTTCCTGTGTAAGTAACCTCCCGTTATTGAATGCTCAACGTCACTGCAAGGACATCCGTATATTCCAACAGCAATTTATCAAGCTTTCAGGTGGTACCTGAGCTGTATAATCGTTCTTCAGCTATGCTTCGGTATGCGCGATTGCTTCTCAGCATTTTGATGTTGGCACCGTTTTTCCTAGTTGAAAGTGAGTATGGATATAATTGTTTTATATATTTTTAATGAAGTCACGGTGTGCATCGTCGACGAGGCGTGATAACGACCCCTGGCTCTCCGTCCTTGTCAACGTGCTCCGGTGTAGTCACACGGTACCACGCGTACTGGACAATTCTGTCGTTCTTCATTTTGGGTCATCATACCGGTATTTATCGCAAAATAATAGGAAAGAATTTGTATTGTGCGTGTGGTCTGTTCCTTTTACATTAGTGCAATATCAATATCTTTTGCACTAATGTAATCATAGACGAAGTTATATCGAACCAGCAATACAACTAGATGGTATAGATCCGTCGTGTAATTAGTAGCTACAGCGTCAAGGGCCTATGGGCGCACCGATGCGCGTGTCTGTTCCACCCTCTTCTAATATTACCGTCGAAGCAGAAAACGTCATTCGCTACTGAAATGGTATTCGGCAGATTTCTGAGAGGACACCAAAGGGCAGTGGACACCAGTGTCCTTTCTTTCGTAGTATAGCAACAATCGTTACCTTCATTGCTTCGACGAAACGAGCCCAACCTATAGGAATGCTGCATACAACGAGTATAACATGTGAGAGAGCGCAGTGAATTAGGGATACCTTCTTTAGGATGTCCATAATACAAAACATACGTTTTTATACACGTATATACTGTATTACAGGCGGCCTAGTCTCAGGGCACGCAATGTTCACAGTAGCTTTGGCACTCTAAAGGTTGAAATGCGCCAAAAGGAACGAGAGAGAAGGGAAGTGTCAGAGGAGCACGACGACATCCCATTGCATTAAGGCAGAAATTCTTAATTTTGTTCTAAAGCCGCAGTTCTTTTGCGCCTTCTGCACACAACATGCTTTGCTGGTCTATATAAGAAGTGGATCTTGTACACTCAAGCACTTTCCTCTCCGATGTCTTCTTCGCACTTCAATAGATCGGTATTAGTCTGCATAGGCAACGTATTACAGATAAATATCTGCATTAAGTCAATACCACTAAAAAGGTCAAAAGCTATATTCGACCGTCCCACGATATTTTCCAGAATTGTACAGTCTAATCTTTGTTTTTATTCGTAACTGTTTCAAAAGTTTATCTGAACCGACGGTGAAGTAGGAATGGCGTGCCTTAATGCAATATATATATATATATATATATACGTGAAACATGTATATAACAAAAAAAATAAAAAAAACATGACACAAACTCGGTACCATTGTCAATGGGATTACATGTTTTACAAATAACTATAGCATTATATATTGAGCATGTTACATTTTTCACCCAACTAACATTTTCAACAAGATTTTCTTTGCCGATCGCTGACGAATGTCGGTTATTTAGTTAGAAACATCCTAGTTCGTTACCTTGTCATAAGTGCAAGAGATTTTTGCTCTTGCTTATCTTCCAAAGAAAAAAAACTAAAGGTAAGCTAGGATACCACTGCCAATGACCCGACCCATTATGGCGATGACGATGATGCTTATCGGGAGATCGCTTACACTCAAGAAACTTATTTCAAGTTTCTCCCCTTTGATTTTTCTGCTATCATTAAAGAGGAAACGAAATTAATTTCTGATCATCACATTTGAGGTGACCAATGCGATTTCAATCGCTAATGGTAAATTAAGTAATGTACCAAGCTGTTTATAACACTTGGGGGTTGCAAGCCAACTGCTAGGTGCAAGCCAACTGCTAGGTACATCTTCCTACACGCCTAATTACTTGTGCAGGACGTATGTGATGTCCGGCATGAATGAAAGAGATCAGAAAAATTAACAGTCAGTTCACCCTGTTCGGTCAGCGTGCATAGCATAAAAGTTCACGAATCTCTTTTGCTATAATTTGTTGTAAACTCGTCTCGTAACAACCGTAAGTGTCATTTTAGCGGTGGCTCACGTTGGACGTTGGTGCCATTTGACTTCTTATAAGGATTAGTAGGGACTATCCCGGCTAGTTCTCACAAAATGCATCCATTATCACCATAGCGGCAGGTCAGCGTATCTCTGGAGAAAGAGCCGTCTTTGTGCCAGTATTTGGGTTGACTTTGTTGGGCTGTCAGCGTCTTCCAGACCGTTTTGATAAACTATTATTGTTAGCGCGTTATTACTGTTGTTACCAGCTGCTTTGTCGTATGACTACATGCATCTGTTGCTTCCACACTATATATATATATAGATCGATTTATAACAAAATTTTACCAGACGCAGCGGTGATGCCTAGAGCAAATCAGATCAGACTGCTGTAAGGTACAAGCCCCACCTGTTATTTGAGAATGCACTCCATGCACATTTAATCACGCAAGTTCCGTAAGTACCGTTTACTAGAATCAGCTGTTTCCAACTACTTCTATGGATCGTCTGCTCTCCGGCCGCTTATGACACTAGGTTCAACAGAGATACTCCGTATCAGAACTTGAAATTCTTTATCAGTTCGTGTATACCCGGAATATCTGGAGCGCACGCTTCGGCTGATCAAATTTATGCACAGCAGAAAATTAACGAATAGAATAGGGCAATATGAAAACTTGCGAAAGCGCATCCTGTCAGAAGTTTATGAAGCGAAGATTCTAACATCGTATCGCCTAATTTAGGAACCGGATGATCTCTAGTATCAGCCATATTGTTAACTACTAACAATATGGCTCTTAGCTACTAAGTTCTATTGCATACCTTTATTGCCAGTCGAATGCAGCTCTCTGCGCCGCTACACTCTAGAGTAGCGTGAGGATATCCACCTAGGGCTTCTCGAATATCTTTGACGATATCTTCATCAGAATGATTCTTAACATTAAATGCCGCGTCTGCTCCGAGGGTCCGTGCTAACGCTAGCTTCGCATCCATGATGTCTATAAGACAATAGATTTACCAAACGAATTTTAAGTAGTTATTACTTTCCTATAAAATATCTAAGCGTAGAATTCTGGTAATAGCATTGTCTCCTAGTATCTTTTCTTCCTACGATTAAAATGATTCTCTTGTCAAACCATTGGCGACAATGGCTTCAGCTCTGGCAGAAAACATGCGCCTGAATCTTCTACTCGCGATGGCAGTAAAACGAAGGGCATTATAAAAAAAATTTTCTGTGTAAACGAACGATTATTACTCTACGATCGTTTTTGACCGTTGACCAATTTCGCCTAATCCAGTTGCTCTTCTCCTATCTACTCGATTGCTAAGTGCATATCGTGAAATCCACTGGACTTTGTAACGGCTTTTATTCGCTCAGCAAAAATTGAGCAGACCACATACGTCTCCTTAGGATCCATTCGGAACAACGATACACCCTTTAGATGGCCATAAAATACGTGGTATCAAACATTTTTCAGCAGACAGCTGTGGCGTGATTGAAAACTGAATGCGCCTACGATTGTAACTAAAGAAAATAAGCGGAAGCCTCGATTCTTAACTGTTAATGTGGGCGTCTCGTGTTCGAAGCTGAGTAAATAAAGACAGGTACAGCGGGGTTTAATCCATTCTGCAAAGACGCGTTAGCGATCACAATATCAAGGCATAACCGATTTTTACTGATTGCTATACATTGGTGAGTTCAAACCCTGCCTTGCCAAGAACGCATAAAGTTCTACAGCGTAAATTGGATGCATTGTAGAATTCCAACGGCATTGCTAGCCGATATCATCATATTTAATCAGTACGTATATTCGAGCTTGTCGTTACGTTATATAGATTTTTTCTTTGAAAAACGTCCTAAAATCACTTCGGTTCACTAAACCAGTTAAGGTGCAATTGTTAGTATCGTTATTTTTTCCTCCTTTTCTTTTCCTTCTCATGGCTCCGGTCCTATTCATTGACGAATGAGATGAAGGTGTTCGTGTTGAAAACTGCCTTTACTCTGGCGTTCTATTACGAACGTTAGAAACGCTAGCACAAACAGGTATAACGTGAATACTTCGTTACGTAGGACAAAATGGTGGCTCGTGTCAGGTACTGCTCGATGATACAATCGATTCGGATTTTCCACAAGTTTTGTCCACCACATGAGCATGACCCTCTGCAACTGTGTAGTAATCATTTACTTCGGTGTGGTGTTTCAGATCGCAGGTTCGAAATCTTCAGGAACTTCTTGAACTTCGTCGATTCGTACTCTCGATAAATCACAAAGAAAACAGCCCAAAATAATAAGACGGTAAAAAAATCGATGACCTTAAACCATGTTAACAACGTTGTTAATTTGTTTAAAACCTTGTTTTTTAAAAAAAATTTTGTCAAAACAAAAAACCCATAACTAAGATCTAATTGCAGTTAATGAGATATCGTTTTTTATTTATTATTACCTCCTCCCAGAATGTTGCCATTAGACTAGAACTAATTGTATTATTTGACGTATTAAATCTTGGTAAAAGAATTTTTCTTGGTAAAAAGAAATTTTTGCACGTAATTAAACGTATTTAGCATAGATAGGAATAGGGATAGTCGCCGCAATTATCGATTAATAACTATGGGAGTCGATTTAAAATGACTGTTTACAACATCAAATTTGCGATCTGATTTTCTACAATATCTATAATCATATAACGCGCTTCCCCCGCAATCAAATTATCTACGTTTGAAAGGGATTCGATTTCGCGCCACTTCTCAATGATGCTTTTTTTGTCTGCTTCTAATCGTTAGACAGATAGAGTGCAAGCATTTGATGCATTGGTTATTGGCTTTTTGTTCGTGACCGAGCCAGGCTGCCGATCGATTGAGTTTGCTGAGTACATATCACAAGCTTTACTAAACCTACTACATACTCCGCTCTCCGCACAGCGCATAGCTGTTAGATTGGGAAAATCTGCGTCCGGGGAGGTCTCTTCCGTCATAGCCCCCGTTTCATAGCATTCGAAATAAAATTTTGCCCTGTTTTTTCCCGGGTGCTGAACTTATCGCTATACTATGGAGGCGAAGGAAGTTTTGGTCGAACAGCGGGACTGCCGCCAACAGATAAGTCTATTTCTACGGATCGTTTAGTGTAATCCCATGGCCCTTTTGAAGAATAACGCCTTAGAGCGATTCAATTACTCAAACTTCTCCACAATGAGATTCTCCTAGATTGTGCTCACCCTATATGCCGCATCCAGTGCAACTGTCAGTCGCAAAGTCGTACGGCGGCAAAGAAGGCTGTAAAGGACGAAAGCCTCTCTCAGTCCTCTTGTAGTGTGCTAGAAAGACCGTGGACATAAGACAAGAGCAGCAACCTTAATTAGGTAAACTAGCGATCAACCAAAGAGATATAATATCACAAGCCGCAGCTCCGCGACCACTCTTAAAATTCATTTACTTGGTTTTGATTAGGTTGACGGCCAAACTCAATCTTGGAGTGGCCGAATGTAACCTGGCTAAGGCCTGCTACACATGGAACAGACCGTTCCCATGAGTAGCTAAGCCGCCGAGTAGATTTAGGCAGGATTAATAAAAGGAGACGGCTTACCATCCTACCGACACCTACAGTCAGCCTGCTCTTGAGTACCCTCTACAAATAGCATCCAAAACAACAACGTATTCTGCTAAGAGCCATTAAGATCTGGCAGAAAACGTTCATCGTAGTCTATTAATACAGTTGTTATTACATGAGATCATGCCAAGATGTCCGTTCCTTCCAAACCGATGCGGCCCATAAGCTTCGATACTTCAATTATAATTTGTAAAAATAATTTCTGTTTCGATCAGTAGTATCTGCTACGTATAACACGGAAAGCCATCTTTCAAGTTCCGCGCCTTTTTGGAAACAGTACCTGAGAGATTTGTCAAACGACATTCAGGGGCATAGTCGTTGTACGCTCGCGTGGCGCCAACAGCTTCTATAATTGGCTGACTACTTATTCTGCGATGCGATAATCGTGCGCTTTGTATACATGAATATATACATCGTCCATTTCTATTAATTTTCATATTACACGCATCTGCAGAGTCTCCGTTCGACTGTGCCCCGTTCTGCTTTCTTTTAATTCTGTGTTCGCGCAACTGGCCCAACTATATGGGGCGGGCATGTACGCTGATCTCCCTTTCTCTGTTCGAGAAAACAGAGAAGCTCTGATTTGCATCGGTTTGTGATCTGTGTGTTCAACAAGTTGAAGAAGCCTGCGTCTTGGCCTTTCCGTGAAGCGTTAGCTAATCCGATTTTGAAACTAAGACAATATTACCTTTCCCTCAACGCTAAAATGATCCCGCAACGCTTATCAATGGGTAAATCAATGCAAGCGTTTAGGTCTTCCTATGAACTAAGACTGGTCCGAACATAAAAAGTTGCACGTGTAAGTTGGGAACCGATCGCAGTTTCGAAATTAGACAAATACTCTGAGATTCAACTATAGGATTAGGCTTTTTTTTTTTACAATGCATTTAATTCGAACTGAGACCCCAAGTTCTCGCATAACTAGGGTTTATACATATTCCAAACGAAATTGCTATTCTGACCCTTTGTATTCTATTTGAACAAGTATGAAGATCGCTATTTTTTCACACTGCACCCCCTCAAGAGTAGTTTAGAAACAAAGGGCTATCAGGGATACGCAATTATTGAAACAGTCGTATGAAACCTCGTAGAAAAATCCTTGTTCAGCAAAAAAAAAAACACGGGAAAAGTAAGAGATTGAAATGTTACCAAATGACGCGGTTAGGATACGAGTGATCCGGGATTATAATAGACTCAGCAGTATAATTTAATATAAAATATATTCATTCAGGAAATTTCCCAAAAGAATTTTCTTTCAATTTAAACGCTCTTTCAATCGAGGATATATAGACCTTTGGCTGCGTCAAGGCCTGATCGCAAGATGGTGACAATCGAAAAAAGATACTCGTTTAACATTTCCTAGACACGTTAACCAGTCAAGACCCCGTTCCTTGTGACAAGTAGTTTAGACAGCAGCATGAGATCAGCCTCCGCTCGCAATATGGGACACAGTCGAGAAAACTCTTCTGAAGTTTCCTAGGGTGTAAGGGATGATAGTTGTTTTAGGTAGACTTTAACGGAATAAAAAGCCTGATTCCGATTTGATTCGTAAAGAGCATCTATAGCAAACGTCTTTAGCACCATTTTAGACAGCTCTACTCTAATGCATGTGAAGTACGGCAATGTTCGGCCAGAGTAGAACGATGTTACTATCTGAAGTGCATTCTCAAAAAGCGTTCATATATATATGCTTGTAGAAGTAGAAACTTTATGATATGAGCTGCGAAATTTAAACGATCTAGAATCATCATATAACAATCAACGTAACCTTATCATAAATAAAACTCCGTCGATTTTCCTCAACTACCTGAAAAATGCTTTAATAAACGTGCATACAAAGTAAGCTGGTTACATAGTAATCCGAGCCTGATAGTCTTTTCATCCTTCAGATCCACCTGTTGGGCAGAACTGAGGTAACTAACTGTATGCATTATTAGACAATTACTTCATCAGATAGTAATCCATTTGTTATGCGTAGGCAGGCCCCTAAAGGGAGGTGAATGTATTTTCACCTCATTCTAGCTAAAAGGCCACTTCAGACACAGGGCAGGTAGAGAAGAAACATAACTTACTATTTTTCTGTTGGAGGTTTCTGAGGAATATTGTTGCAACACTGATCAATAGTAAACTGTTCCCTGGCGACTGATCTACACCATCTAATCGGCCAAACTTACCTAGGTATGTGCTTTAAGATTAGTCTACTGTACGCTGCATCATAACATCACGCAATGACTAACGTACTGAAACTTACTGGTGAAGCTTTCGTGAACACTTCGCGAATTCAGCTAAATCGCCCTAAAATGAAAGGACTCAATGGAAAACGTGATTAATATTTCTCCACGAAATCCAGTATTTTCGCCTGCTACAAATCAGCCTTGCGTTACAGTACAGCAATGTCAGATATATGACATTAGACAACCCACTGATAAGTGGCTGCCCTCACGACCTTGTCACCCTCTTATTAAAAGGAACCAGCACCATATTGCTACATGTATAATTATGATTAATCCACAGCTTCTGTGAGAGGAAGCTGTTAGCCTAAACGTTCAGAAAAACAATCTTATTGTCAGGTAGCGGCGAAACAGTGAGTCACCCTTGTAACCAGTAAATGTGATAAAAGAGCACCCCTCGAGTTTCAGGCAAGCCGTAAAAATGTAAAGTGCCGTTTGCATAGATACTGCGGTGCGTACTTCCCACCACCTGATAGTATCAAAGTATATTTTGATAACGAAGACTCGTGTCCTTCGTCAAGCATGTTATTACTCATCATGGGCAGTTATCGTTTTATATATATTTGTGTATATAGCTTGTTCAAGATTTAACAATACCGACAAACACTGATAATTCCGTTATAAGAAGTTTATACTGAACGTCGCAAGTACACCTTCTTGGACCCGCTCGGGACCATTACGCTCGTATTGATACATAGCGTACCTAGAATAATGCGCTTTTTTGATAAGCTATGCCATGTAAAGTCGCGCAAAGAAGTGATACTCCTAACATTTGCGTTGCAACAAAGGAGCAGCACTACGGTCTACAGCTAGTAAAATCGCTTGCTCGCGTTATCCAAAGAGTAAGGCAGAAATCCTCTGTACGTATACTCCAAATGACGCAAAGGAAAAGCATGTAGTACATGTTATATATATATATATATATAAACAACAGGGTCAATAACATGAGTTTTCGTCAATTCACGTTTAGCAGGCGCGTACGACTATATCCATATCAAATTGGCTAAACGTGAATTGTTGGAGTATGAGAGCAATCAGCAAGACAATCATTAAAATAGGTAAATTAGCAAAGCAACCCCCGTTTGCGGTCGGCGAGAATAAACATTTGCTCTGATTCTGGACCAGAAAAGTATGTGGAATTTACAGTAACAAATATCGGACATTCTGACACCAATTTGATACTTTTGTGTCACTGCCCTCGTAAAGTTGTAACCGGTCATTGATTTCAAAGCGCAAAAACCCTGGTCCTAATGCAGACCATCCATGCCAAATAAGTGCATGTACTGAAGCACCACATACAAACAGTAAGAATCGTATACATAATAACAAATCATTTGCTAGTCTATTCTCATGTTGATTTACCTCATAGTGACACCAACATTTTTCCAGGTATCTTTTTGTTAAAGGCACAAAAGTTTCTGAAGAACAGATTTCAGAACAGAAGAATCTCGAAAATTAATAAGAAGTATTTTTATTAGCTAGGCGCTTAACCTGTTGGCACGTTTTGCATAGAAATTTCTATCGTGCTGTAAACAGTCAACAGGCCTTTTTCGAAGATTATCTATTGAATGCCAAGCAGAAGGCTTTTATGTCCTGGTTCTAAAATGCTGTCTTATTGATATATTCTAATAGTTTAGTATATCGTTTGTTGTTGTTGATGCTTCCAACATTAATACAGATATAACAAATTCAGCAGAAGAACACAAATACGAAGATATTTCACACATTCGTTTTATCCTAAAGCAGGCATTGTTTCTGTTGTAAGCTTCACCAATTCGGTCTGGGTACCGCCGAAGGCAAATTTCTGCTCTCTCATCGAACTTAGCTCGGCAAATAATTGCACAATGAGTAGGAACAGAGCATTCGCTCGCGACATTATAGAAGACAAGGTCTAGCGGAGAATACTGGTACGTGTACGGTACAGAGAAAAATGCTGACCCACGAGCGACCGGAACGCGTTTACCAACTCGAAATTTAACATTAGCACCCATATATATATATATATATATATATATATATATATATATAATACATATCGGTCATGAGAAACAATAGTTCCTGATTTTTAGAAAGAGGTCAATTATGTATTGCATTTGTAGTTATAGTAATAGAAATATAGTAAATATAATTATTTTGTATCCTGATGCGGTCACATCTAAAGATTTGCAGTCCTTAGATGTGACTACTGCTAGGAACTGTATTGTTTATACTATAAATTTCCACCCCAAATTCTTGGAACCATGTTGGACTCTCGGGTCACAAATTGCAGAAATGCTATTTCCCTCTTATTCCACAAACGACAGTAAGCGAACAATAGTCGGTGCTTAACTCCGTCTACCGGCGAAACCGATGAAACTAGAGGATGTCTGCCTGCAGGGTTATTAACGGTAAGTAGTCGAGAACCCATATTTAGGTACAGACTCACAGGTACAAAAACATGCCTCATTCAAAGCTTGTTTACTTACTGTAATACTTAAGGTATTGGAACGATGCCAAGGACACCTAACTATTGCATAATTTTGACGTTACAATAAGGCTTATTAGTCCTTGTGGCCTTGCCGTAAGAGGCCGTAAGAGAGGGTACGATGGTATTATCGGACATGAAACCGATTAGGTGAGTTTCACAGCTTTGTCACAAATCAATATACATCCAGTGTTATTTTGCTTCCGTTTTTATTCAACGATTTTGTCTCGACGGTAAGAACAATTGCGTTGATGGCTTGTATATTTTCTCATACGGAACTATAGCTGCGTTCCTTTGATCAGGGATTTCTCTTACCCTAAATATCGATAAATGGTTAGCCATGCATACGATTATAACCTAAGATACCCCGAGTAAGTGGTTTCAACCCTAAAACAATCCCTGGTAAAAGGCAATTTGTTTATGTGAAACCAAGTACCCGTGGTCGATTTTCCATATCCATTCTCAGGAGTAACAACGATCATGTTCGGGCGTTGACCCACATTAAGCATCGTAGACACGAGTCCATGAGAAAAAGTAGTTATTGTTCGGAGAAATGTAGTTTTTTCTTTTCATCTCCAGAGAGCTCTAACACCGTTTATTGAATTGATGGAAATACTATTAAGCAATTGCTACTCTTTTATCAAATGCAACTGCTTGGCTCAATGTAGCCTACGAGATATTCTGTTCCAAGAGCATGCAGTATAACAAGAAAATATGGCTGTGCCCATTTGAATGGCCGGCTATACATATTTCACTATTGAAGCCGTTGCTGTTGTAAGGCTTTGGTAACGTTTACTGAAGAATGAGTATAGCCGATAAAGTCAATTTAGAAAAAAGGATACTAGAGCCATTAGAAGAAATATGGGTACTATATTTCGACCCGCTATTTATTGCATCAAGTAATACGAGGTAGTTATTTCTTCCATTGATTTATAATGGTAACAGTAATAATCACCTTGGAAAACTTCTTGAGGCAAGACAACAGAACTTTTCTCGTTCGATTATACGTTAGACAATAACGTAAGCACTAAACTTAAAATTAGACAATAATTTTAAGTTATTAACTTCTACTTGGAGGGTTTCATCTCAATTAGAAATGGTACAATATTATTCGAATCCTTTTACTTACCAATCACGGCGATCCGAGAAGCCCCGAACGCCTTGGCAACAAGCATGTTAAGTAAGCCAATTGGTCCTGGAAACAAGTTTTAATTAAGTAAACACTGTTCTCTTATGTACCATCATCAAAGTTTTGTCATTCAAGATACCTTAAACGACTACGAGATATCAATTAAAGTGTTTTTTATTTTAGCTAACGTCCCAAATAGATTAGACAATATTATTCTAGACAATTTTAGTACAATCACATTATTACTAGCGGAACAATTAAGAGGGCTACCTAATTTTCCACTGAATTATTTTAGATGTTTTTAGATAGGTGTTTTGCGTCAGCGAAACGATATATAGACGCATTTATATAGATATCCTGTACCGGACTCCAGACTATACTTGTTGAAGCTTCTAGAACAGGAGCTCAAGCATGTAGCTGACGTAGAGCGGAATCATTGTGACAAGATGACGCTCCACTGCTCTTGTACTAGAGACGTTTTGGCGTGTCAGGCAATATTAACACTTTATATATTATCAAGCGTATACTCAACTAAGCGTATCTCCCACTGGCTGACTTTAGTTGATCGTAGTTTAATGTGAAACCTCCTAATATTTGATTATATGTGAAGAGCACGCTCACCTATCAGACATCTTCGTTAAACGGAGTGGACCTAACAAAGGTGAGCCTGCGTCGTTATAGAAATCTCGGCGATTGCTCGTTAGGACGCGCGTGAATCATTTCAATTGGATTACCTATAAGGGGGCTACGTCAAACATCTTGGGACCATTTTAGGCGCCTAAAATTAATCATTGGCACACACTGGTCTCAATATTTGGCCCCATCTGTATCGGGTCATCACAGTAGGCATTTGAAGTCTACGAGAGTACGAAAAAATATCAGCGCGACTAAAACGCGTATTTCTGAAGAAAGAAGTGTTTAGTACTTTTTGTGAACTTGAGAAATTGTTAACCTTGGTTGGCTTGAGAGTACAGTCTATGCATAAAGCTGTAGAAAAACCTGCCGTTGAAACTACGCTATTGTATGGCGGGGTCAGCATTTGTTTGACTCCAGCACAAAGCTAATAAAATACCCTATTCTGTGCCTGTTTTAACATTTCGCAGTTATATATATGTGCTGCATTTGTATAAATTCAGCAAAAATGTACCTACACCTAGATGTTACCATGAAGGATTACAATTCGTCCTTCTTTCACAACTCATACTGAAGTTCGCAACCAGGAATCGAAAGATTCCTGGTTATTCAATATTTACTTGATATAAAGTTTTCCTGTCACCCACTTCAGACATACGTTTCAGACATACGTACGGAATCAATCATTGTCTGGATCGGCTATAAATGTTAGATATCTATTACCGATAAATGTAAATTTATATTAATTTTTTTGCGAAAGTAAATTTACGTTTCTTGATGTCTAAAAGTTAACAACCGTCACATTTTCTAGATTCATATCTTTAAAAGTTTATTATCCATATTTCGAGAGGTCCATATTTCCTAAATTTCCGCTAGTCCACAAATATCATTCATGTACAGTTGACAAAACAGGTTTCGTTAACTTTCTACGAATGAACCTCCAAAATTTCTACAAAGTAAACAATATTAATATCCGATCCATTTCAATGTAGGCTCGCTTCTCTGAGTAGCCCATTTAGGGTTTAACGAAATTGATATAATCAATGAAAGTTCACTATGGCACTGAATAAGTGAGTTCAGAACTCTGTAGCACACACATCGCTAATAGACGGTACTATCTAAGCAGGACCATTAGTACTCATTACCCAAATAGGTAAACTATTTGGTAAAATGGTTCAAAACCATAACGTTTTGGCGTTAACTTTAGTCAAAGTCAGTCACCGAAGACACGTCATCAAGAACGAATAGCGTAAACCAGCATCTTAAACATGCTATGGTATGATTGTGGAAACCTTAGCCACTAACGTGATGATTATAGATACACTTGACTCGGCATTATTTCGAAACAGAGGAGCCAGTTATCAATGATCCAACGCGAATCCTGACGCTGACTTTTGGACCAGAATGTATATCAAGTCATATCCACTTTCTTCGATTCCCAGTCTGGTGTACACCTCGCTAAGTATTCACTTGTACCATTCGTTTGCACCATATTATAGTATCGTTATATTCTTCTATGTGAAATGTTTCTATGCCATTGGGTCACAGATCGGTGAGCGCTAAAATGCAGTAGTGCTCTATCTTCGAAAATCTGCCTTTCAGGAGCTATCATGCACCATACAAAACTAAGTGTAGAAAGCTTTACTTTCGCTTGTGTGAAGCATTACGGATATAGAAGGAAATTCGAATAATTAAGAGAGAATTAATATTTCAGTTTTATTCTGTGTGATGCTTGTCGCCGGTTCACGTTAAACGAACTAGGCTATCCGCTAGATAATTGATTTCAAATATTTGTTACCTAGCAGCCTAAACATATCGCCGTATCTATAGCAACAATTTAATTCGCCTATCAAGCAAACAGTTTACGTAAGACAGGAAATTCTCGATTTTGAGTTCAACGGGTACGATAGAAGATTAGAAAAGCGACGAAGCAAAACTAAGGACACGTAACGGAACTTCTACTGCTGGGGAGTGTTAAGTGGGAAGATGAAGCGGGAACGCGAAGTCGTATGCCTTCTCGAAAAGTACTATAGCGGGCTGCAAGCGACCACTGCTACGCTTAGGGCCGTTTCTACGCCGTGTATCGAAATTATTGGCTGAATAAAGCGACAACTACGCCATCTCTGTTCAGGGAAGCTTCTGGCTTGAATGGCATAAAAATTAAAATGAAGGTTGGCATAGAATCGATTAGAAAAAATTCAACGAATATAGAAAGCTAGCTAACATACGGCCAATAAAACACCGAACAAATGAAGATCTTCAGTGACAAAGAGTGACTGACTTCCACTTAACTTTATCAATATGGCAGTTTATGATTTACCGAATCCATTTTCCTTTAGGATTAACTTCTGTCAGTGGCCCAGTTGTTTGTAAGGAGAATTTCCTAGCTTTAAATATTTCGATTCGTCGTTGAGTGTAGCTGATATTTCCTGTAAAAAGCTTTATTTGCGTAGATAATTTCCGAAATGCTAGGCAAGCATTGATTGATTAATTAAAACCATACATCAAATACTTGACTATAAGGCATGCACTTCACTGTTATCTAATTACTTTGAAAGCAGTACTATTGAGTATGATATTGTGTGTCATAATCAAGACCTTTGAGCGGCGATATCTCTGATTAAGTCAAAGTTTACCCTATTTTTATGGACTTGCTAAGATTGTTAGGACTGTCAACGTTGCAGGTCACCTTCATGCTTTTATATCAGGGTCCAGAGCACTAGGATTATTATAATAGACTAAAAGATATAATCTCAACCATATTATGAGCCGAGTATATCCGAGAAGGATGTATTATTACCTTTCTTTCAGTTGGGAGGGGGAAAGGGGAAGTGCCTTTTACGCTGTATACTTTTCCTATATACTATTCGTTCGCGGGCACCAGGTGCACTTTTAAGTCGTATCGCACAAAATAGGCAAACACACAGCTGTTACTGGTAGGGGTAGCTAAATATGTACATACAAGTATTCTTCTGTTAGCCATCCGTATATGTAGTCAGTGGTCTGCATTAGGAAAAACTACTTGAAGGAGGGCGAGGAATCGTATGCCCTTTGCACTGCATATGTTAACACGTGCCAGCTCTGGGACGACAGCCTCAAGAAAACTTGCTGTTGGGGCATACGGTACGATCACCTGAAAAGACTGTCGCACCTAGAAAAAGGATCGCTGGCGGCGGAAATCGCACACAAATTCACAGAAGCCGCCTCCACTTACGCTACGAGTAGCGAATAATGCGCAACACGTGCAGATGTTGGTCTTGGAAAAGGCACCGTCAGCTCGAGTTTGATTTGTCAGGTTTTAGCTCATATTGGAAGAAATATGGGCAGAAAACCTGAGTGGGCCCTGCAAGTTCGGGCACTATTCAGGTCACGGAATTTCAAGTCAGCAGCTGGAAGGGGTTGGCTGCAATATTGCGTCACAGAGTATAATTTCTTTATAGTGAAAAAACTGTAGCTCAGCAAGGCGAGGATAGGACCTACGAATAAAGAAGCGGCTGGACCAGAAGGTTGCAATACAGTTACTGACAACGAGCCAACTTTCATAAGTGTGTACCATGGAACCAGTACATAATGGGTTCACCCTGGTAAAAACCTCGAGCATGTGGCCCCTTTCGTCAGTAGTGGAAACATGAAGGAACATATCTTCAAGACATTAACTAAGAATGATTCAAAACACTCGTATGCAACGAGTGTTTTGAATCATTCGCTGTTTTTCGTCCGTACTGCCGACAAATTAGATAAACTTAATTATTTATCTAAAGTTATTTATCTAAACTTCCGTAATTGATATCGCGTTTCGCTGTCGACATCGTATTTTCGTATGGAGAACACTATTTTCTCGTCGGATGCAAGGCTTCACTTACACAAAACTCCTGTTCGTCCACTGAGTTTCAGCGAACAAGATCAGAAGCTTTCGCTGCTGTTCGAACTAGTTTACTCGAATAACGGAGCCACTAGTAGAATTTTCAACTAATAGTTTCCTCAACCCTTTTTAAACCTCAATCCTCAGAATTGTATACATAACAGTTGAGAATTTAATTACTTAAAATCATATCTTTAGTCCTTGTTATACTTGTGCGCTCCCCTTATATAAGTGTTCAGAGGGTAATCGAACTTTTCCTATGAGGATTTTCGTAAACGGAGTTTCATATGAGAGCTCCTTAGTCAGCTTTATGACGTACGATCCTCCGTAATAGGACGTTCCTCTCGCGATCGTTATGAAGATCGTACGCTGTAAATCGCTGCGCTACGATAGTGTGGCATTATCTAGTCACGGAAGGACATTTAGGCATATTCGATGTCCCGTCATAACAAAACCCAGATCGTAGAACAAATTTAATCCACGTATTTTGGCAATAAAAACTTTCTGCGCCATCACTTATTCGAACAGATCACTCACTATTTATATTCAGCTAGGTCTGCATTCATGTACGAATGCCCAATAATGATGGGAACAATCACGATAGTCTTATGGTGCTCCAACATGATTTGGCTAGTACAGGCGGTACAAGCTTGATGAACGTATTTACTTGTAACATAATACGAACGAATGCAGCATGCTATCACAATAGTTCAACGTTGCCAAAAACTTACCACATAATGACCAGCAATATAAAAATGTAGGCGATGGTAGTGTGATTGACCAGGGGCGTCTGTTGCTAAAGAGATCTTCGCTGGGAATAACAGTGAATATAGTCCGCTGTTTCGAGTTTTTCAAAGGACTTAATGGACCGTCGGCACGGTGACCAAACAAGCAATAACAACACCATCTCATATCGTCATGCGGCAATGACGTCTTGAATTGACCAAAGGTACACATAAACGCTAGCCTTAACCCGGTCCTTTTGTAATTACCGGGCTTTTGACGCCCTAAAAAAAGCTATTAATGAACGAGCCTATCCCTCTATTGGTTGACGCCGTAAAGGAATAACCTGTGGGTACAGCAATGGTAGCTGGACGGTTGTCCAGAAACTGCCAGGACGCTGGGACGAATGTGTCTCTAACACACATTAGAAAATCATTCTAGTTTAACTAATTGAAAACAATTTCAAACACCAGATCCTCTTGCTGCAACAGCCCGGAACGCGTTTCCAACTGAAATAGAAAATTTTTAAGTTCTCTGGTATTCCCTGGTATCAAAGTTACGATATGTCGAAGACGATGTAAGATTCAAATACGAGGCGTGCTACCTGCATTCCCCAACGGTAGCTTAAAGACACTCACCGCATCCATTCAAAGGTTTGCCTGACGTTACTGAAATGTACTTAATATATTTGTGCATAGAAGTACTCGTTGTACGATCCAAGGGCTCGGTCGCAGAAATGTGGCCGATACCATACATTTTTGTTAAGGACATTCAAACATAAAATGACCTGCTACTACGAGTATATGAACGTGGATAAGTAACACAACCCAGCTCAGATTCTCAAGCTTTTTATAGAGCTAATACTATTCGTTCAGAACGGCTAATCTACCATACTAATCTACTACCATACGGCTAATCTAATGTACCATACTATAGTCAGGGGCACATTACACACGACTGATGATAATTCCACTTTAGTTGTTCGAATGAAGGACTAATCTAGCAAAAATGGTACCGTAAATGTCACATATATAATGGTTTAGAAAAATCAAAATTTATTTAAACGATAATATTGGGTCGCCAATGGTAGGAATACATCGGAACCCATCGTGATAGATAAATCACTTAAGCAATCACATGATTGGCGCCAAAATTTGAAGCGCTAAATCGTAAGCTTATTTCTCGTCGTATAGTTGCTAAACCGTTATGGTAGTTCATAGCGTTCGAACAGATTATAGTCTTATATATTTCCTATGAATGAAAAGAATGGGTCAGCCAAAGTTTTTGGCCGAATGCGCATTACCTAAATGATTCCGGTACCTGCGGGTATGTTTGAGCTGTCAGGCTGTGAGTGCATCAGGGTCAATAGTTGATATATCAAGACCGCATGGCGGACTGCATGGCTGTTTTTTCTCTTAGCGTTTCGGCGTTACACCTCTGATGCTCCTCGCGGTTGCGCTACTATGCCAATAAAATAGACCGTAGGAAACCTAAAGGAAGCTTTTTTGACTGTGTGTGTGTGTTCAAGTGTTTTCTTACTAGCATGTGGCAATTAAATGAACTCGAATAATATATGCTCATATGCTGAATAGTAGTGAGTGGTAGTATGATATGAAGCTGTCTTTTTTTGTTGAAATCAGTATATTTCAATAGCGAAGCTTGACTAAAACTGCATCACTATTGTAAGACAATAGTTCGAACTACTAGATTTGAAAACATTACTAGCTTGATAAGTGGCAACACGATTTCCATCAAAACATAAGAGGAGTCCGAATAAATTATCTATCTAAAAACATGGTCAGCTCGTGGATTCATAGGGAAACGGTACGCTTGTACCATACAGTCAATCTTATAGCCAATGGGGAAAGTAAGAAGACATTATGCTTACAACGAATAGAGGCCAATAATAAATATAAGAGGGTTGAGCTTTGCAAATTAAGTTGCAGCCGCAGATTAATGGTAAAAAAGAAATCTAACTATTGGTTGAACATTCGCAGTGCCGGCACAGTTTTTTTTTTTTTTTCTAGATTAATTAGGTTAGGCTGATTGAAAGACACATGTTTGTTGTTAGAGCCATGAAAAACCTCGACTGTTACAAAACCTGACAAGGTAGTCCCATTATTCTGTCGGTTTCATTGCAAAATCGTAGCTAGCAATTGTAAAAACGTCGAGAATCTACTCAGGTGTGCTAGCTACATACTTTTGAAATTTACTTACCGACTCCGGTGATGAGAACACGCTGGCCTGGTTGAATAGCGGCGCGTCTGCACGAATGTACGGCAACCGAGAGCGGCTCAATGAATGCGCCTTCGTCAAGGCTCATATTCGGCGGCAGTCTAAAATGAGGCACCTGCGCTTATTTTTCATTGCTTTAAAGCTAGATTTATTATGTTGACCGTTTCGAGCGCTGGTACAATTTCGCAATTTTGTTCATCTTATTTATCACGTCAATTGATTGAGCTGCTTGACAAAAGCTACAGCTTCCTTATAGCTGACGAGAATTTTTAGGCATATACGAAAATGCCACCACGGTGATGCCTTCAACCATGTTCACCTAGAATCGTCTACCCGAAACACTACGTTAGTGTTTTGTGAAATACCTAAACAAACATTTCTTGCTTGTTTGTTTGCCTGGTTCAATCAAAAATCAATTTGGTCCATGTAACGGGATGAAATTCGGTGTAATGATCAGTTCATTTTTATAATTAACATCACAAAAAAACGGCTAATTAGCGCGTTAGTCGTGTCTCTGCAACTCGTCAATAGCAGTCACCCTAAATAACAGAGCAACAGGCTCATAAGACAGACATACGTCTCTCTGAGCCTTTCAGCAGCAGCAACAATTATTTTGTGCCACAATATCTAGCATTCATTAATTAACCGTCACAGAAGATGTGTGAAGACGACAGTATCAGTACCTAGGACATCAAGCCTGACTGAAAAGTTTGCCATAGAACTACAGCCGACGCTGCTCGCGCCCCTCTTCAAAGTCAACCTTACTTTTTTCTGTTTGCTCGCTTATTATTTCCACGTTGCCACACTTCGTAAATTTTAATAAATTCCAAAAAATATACAGCAATCAAGCGTAGCTGAGATAGCCTGGATTGGCGTTGACTGCTTAAGTGGTACTTTAACGTGTAAGACGGTACTTGTGAGCTCGACCGATTTCGCTTCTCCTTCAGTGCTCTTCGCGTTACCAATCCGCAAAAGTTTATTCTTATACGTTTTATCTCTTACCACTACCGTCGTCCCCATCACGTTTGCAGGTTTTATCCGTTGCAAACTTCAGTCCGAGGAACTTTCGGTCTCGTAGGGTCTCCTGCTACTGTTATTGTTCATTGGGTCGTTGGTTGGGCCACTACTCCTTGGTGCATAGTGCACCGTTTTTGTTCCGCTGGAAAGGCCTTAGACGAAAAATAGAAGGGTCTATGGCGTTGTCCTTTTTCCGAAACTGCCAAACAACAGTGGTCAATAATGGTATCCAGCAAGGGTAGCCTTGTAGAGACCCATATCTGGCTTAGCTAGTTAGGCAACCGTGCCATTGTAGCACTCTCACTGGTTTGCAAACGATTCCTGTTACCGGCTTCTAAGCTGTGAGAGGAATCTTAGCTCTGTTCACTGCTAGCGTAAACCACGACACCTTCGACCTACACCTTGGACACCACCTTAGACCATCATCAGTTAGTCACTGAAAAAACGCTTCGACGAAATTTAACAAAACATGAATAGGATAATTAACGCTACTCAACGCAGAGCAGTATGGCGCTCTTTTCAAACGCTAGAGATTATTTTACGTTCCCCACCATCGAAGAAATCGTCGAGCCCTTGTCTCCGTATGTAGCAGCTAGCTAAAGATTTTTAAAACGGCTTATATGTTGACGAAATATCTAGAACATTCGAGAGTACATTTTATATGTCGGAAGAACGCAGCGATAATATCGAATCACAAACAACAATGAGTTATCATTAACTTAAGTTTTAACTGGTAATTTCGCTGGATAATTTCTTGTGTTGTATTACTTAGTACAGGGGTACTAGCCTTTTGACGAGGTGAGGCAAGCCTTGATTAAAATTGAAAGAACCTTTCGAATATATGTGCTCCCATAAACCTTCTCTTGAAGATAAAGCAGTACGGCTGCCAGCGCGAACGATCGTGGGCCAAAAGATGACTACCACTCCATATTAGGCGGTAATATACAGTTTATTTCTGAATTTCATGGCGAAACTCAGAAACAACGTGCTTATGCTTAAAATATGATATCTTTGAAGCTTTACGTGTAGCTTTGAATAGACAGAATAGACAGAGTTTAACCAGCTCGTTGGAGAAAGTCGCAAGAGTGTTTCAAAAAAAGTGGACACAAAACATTGGAAAGTCTGTTCATGGATATACAGGAGAGACGTCTACCGTAAACGTGATGACCCTTGTCCTATCTCAGTGTGTACCGTGTACCTTTGCGTTAGAGGCCACTGGCTAAGAACCGAGGCTGAAGTATCCGGTTGCCGGTCGAACCACCTGCCACTGCTACTACTGTCGCTATTACCAGCAGTGAGAAAAACCAAGTCTCAAGGTCCAGTACCCTGTGACCATGCCGAGCACGTCGCGAATCTATTAAGCAGATGGACCCCGGAGCATCGGGAGTCGTATAGAAGTCGCGAATGCAGAGCAAAGCCGTGTACTTGAGGGCTTAATAGTTGATGGTGACAGAAGCGCCATGTGCTGTCACAAGGCACAATATGGAACGAGCTGTCTTTGGCGAACAGAAGAGCACAGAATAGAACGAAAATGAACACGATAGATTGCGGCGATAGATTGCTAAACTAGCTAAAGTCTATTGCTTACGTCAATGCAAGGCTGCCCTATCCTGCCGTATTCCCTGACAGCTTCCCAGGCTAACTCAGGCTAACCTCAGACTGGAGTGCTTGGAATAAGGGACAGGCAGGGAGCACGAAAACATGGAGACGCAAAGTACGAACAGACAAGTCGCCGTCAAGTCACGATCATTGCTGGACAATTTCATTGAACAAATCGCCTACCCCAACATCCTCACTCACATTTCCTACGGTGACAAAGGTCACGCAGTGCGCACTCAACATTTGTGACACAAGTAGCCCGTCACGTGCATGGTCGTGTCGCCCACGGAGCCCGAATCAGTCACTGGATCCGCATACCTGTACTTCGAAGTTGTGCCCTTCTTCACCAACTTCGAAAATGGGAAAGCAAAAAAAACAAGATGCAAGAGAAACGGACAAAGTTGAGGGTGCGAGCGGAAGGCGTTTATTTAGCGAGCTGGAAGGGGTGCAGCGTAAAGATTCCCCATACAATGCTACTCCAAGCATTATTGCCAACTAGTGTACTTTGGGTGAGGTGGACCTATTCTTCCTGAAAAACGCATCGTTGCAAAACTGTTTCACACATTAGTACTTGATGTCACCTCAAGATGGTTGGCAGTAAAATAGGATTGCCATTACGGTATGGGAGAAAGTTCTGTCTTAGACGATCATACTGAAATTATATTTCCGTAAATTTTATATGAGACAGGTCTGTTTCAATATGATAGGCAAAACGCTATCGTCACTTAGTGCTTCCAGACGTTTGCATTGACAACATGTGGCGCCATTATTACAACCTTAAGCCTATACTCAACGATTTGTCAAAATATTTCTTTCCACTGCGCGAACAACCCTCTCACGGTTTCTGTTTATCATAAATATTCAAGTGGTAATAGAAGTCTACTAAAATTGGTTCCATTTCCTACGACACAACCTAATCCCAGTGATTATGATATGTCGTGTACTTTTTGAGGAGGTTCAGAAGAAAGAGTGCTACATAGAAATAGGCTTTCATAATAAATACTGCCGCGAAAATTACCGTCAAGTGTTTATGTTTATGTCATACTAAGTGCGGCTTTTTATGCGATAGTTTAAGCTGTGGCCATCTAACTTATAGCTGTTCTAAACTCCCGAAATTTTGTTTCTGTGATCAATAATATGATACTTTTAAGGCTACAAAAACGCCGCTTACAAAAAGATGCAACACCGAGTTCTGGAAGTGTTGACGACCGATCGTCATTTAATTACAATACCTTTAGAGCTATGCCCTGACAACTAATATAGAGTGAATCGTGTCGTCTAATAAATAGAACCCATAAAATGGCTTTCTCAATTTTAGGCACTATCACAAGAGCGAATGGTGCAGCCTTTTACCCTATATAAAATGTTCTTATACCAAATGAAAAGCTCAAGTGTTATATGTTATACGACAAAATGAAAGCTAGCACGATTATATAGCATTATTAAGTGAAATTTGCAATAAAAAAGGTGCAATTGCATCTTGTAAAAACAGTTCCTTGTAGAAAAATTTAATACGAGCCTATACTCGAATAGCGTACTTGGGAAGTAGATTGAGAAAAACAAATTGACAAATTTGTAGATACGCATCTAAAAATAATTTCTAATGCTTTTAGATGAATGCCACTATGTGGGCCAGAAACGATACCGCAAATACGTTTTATAACACACAATACTGGGTCTAGTTTATGGGCTTTAATTTTCCTCGATTCATAGAGGGTACCCAGATATAAGACCCTTCCGATGTTTAACTTGATTTCGCTAATTAACTTCTTCGGATATAAGAAAACCTTATATTTTTACTATGAAGTTTTCATCTACGTTTTGCAGGCACTTTGTTAGTTTACTTTTGAATCTGTTTAATCGTTCCTATTTTTCAATAAACTGTAATAGCTTGTAGTCTGTATCTTAATAGGGTCGAAATATCACGAGTATTTCAGGTCTTCAAAACGACGTACGTCCCTCATCGCATTATCAGAATATTTTCAGGGTCTTATGAAAGATTGGATAACCTGACTTCCTAATTAAATTCAATAATGAATAATCCATCTAATCACAAGCTCCCGTCAGACCTTGACCTTCGGCAGTCAAGCTGACAAGCGATGCACAAGCAGATCTGTGTTCATAGCTTCTGATCTCATGTTTGCTAGTCGTAGGCGGGCTATAGCATAAGAACCCTACGGTTCAGCGCGTTAGGGCCGATGATCCATCCGCCAAAACAAAGCGAGGTGCAGTACAGCTAGTTATTAGCGCTGTCGAATACAAAGGTAGGATACATCGAACCAACGAGAGCAGAGTTCATGGTACTCGTATGGGGGATTATTTGGGCTAATCAAAGGGAACGTTTCTTAAGCGAATCTATTTCTTCTCACAGCTATCGTCCTACCACCACCCGGAGGTGCTCGCCTTGGACAGCTCGACTCTTCTGGTTCGGACGACAAATTGGTGCTGCCGCTCCCGAACGTAGAACGGAGCTAAGCCAACTACGCATTGTTCCACTTACTTCCTCCCCTATAGCATCCCTTCTTTCGGCCTGCCCGTTCGTTCCCCCTTCTAGTCATGCCTTATGTATATAAAAAGGCCAGGCAGCGGATAGAGATGCGTTCGCTGTAGCCTACCTGCATCTACGGTAGGGTCGGTCCTGTTGCGCCATATAGTGTCGAAGCATGCGGCGAGATTTTATGGATTCGCCAACATCATGGCGAACAAACGCATCATATACATCATATATATATATATATATATATATATATATATGACACGGTTCTACGTACAAAGCCTTGTGTTCGTACGTGAAACGACACTGAGCGATCCCAATGCAGTCATTCATCAATTTCTGTCACCAGTAAGTTGCTGTTGTTATTGATAACTTCAAGATTGGGTCGCTTATATACAGCGTGCTTCAAATCTTTATGGAATTGCTAGATCTCAATATTAACTAGGTATTTTATACAAAAGAAGCATGATATAGATATTTGAGGCGAAGTGACCTAGCAGATTTCACTCAGAGAAATGAGTACAGTCTATTGCGAGAATCGCACCATATTCTATGGCAAAAACTTCTTTCCTTTAATAATCATGCCGAGATAGTTGCATAGATCATAATAGTGATGAATGGAATTGTAAAAAAAATTTATCTATAATATACACTTTTTGTTTGTTGTAATTATTAAAGTTACCATCATCCATCGAATATGGTCGCAAGTTATCGAAACAGGTGGCCTAGTGCATTGTTGTGCCTATCTCCTTAGATATGAATTATGGATTATTTGATTGGCCAAAAAAAGCCAGTTGTTTGACGATTCCAATTCCATAGCCTAGCATATATTGGCTTTTCTTAATTTTTTTTCGTATAAAGAAAAGAAAGATCGGCCCTTATTGAAATAGTATTTTTTAAGTGTAAGCACTCGATGTCTTATCGGTAAGCTGAGTCAATCCTTTTTTGACAATAGCGTCTGCTACGATTATCGGATTTTAGGTTTTTTATTTCTTTGGTATGAACAGATAGTTGAATCCAAGAACACTTGTTTGTTCAAGATTTCGCCACCCTTACTGATGTGTGGGTAATACCAAATGAAAAAAGGACGTCTCTACAGAGGTCCTTTTCTTCCACTTCCAGAGTTCTACCCATGATGTAAAGTTTTCAAGTGATTTCAGTGAAAAAAAAAGATTCAAAGGCCACCTGAGAATGATCCATATTCGTTCGGTATTATTTCGCTTACGATATTAGTACTTTTTTTTCTCATCAAAGGGATAAATATTTGTGGAAGAGGTACGAATAAACGTTGACAAGCTATAATCTAAGCTAGAAGTGCATTCTTCATATAATCATTATTGCCACATTATCATCTTAGGGATTGACCTTTATTTACAGCACTTCGCCGATGTATCTTGGGCATATATATCGAAAATAGTGTCAACTTTTTCTTGTCTGGGTTGTTCAACTTACGTAGTTAATCTTGTACGCGTTAAGGATCGTGAAACGCAAAATATGATCTCAAGAAAGCCATCACATTTTTTCTGAGTCATAATCTAAAAAACGTTTAGCGTGGCAAAATTTTTATCGGAGCTTACTTATAGCAGAACTGGGCGTCCTGACAGTAGAATCTACGGAGAGTCCCGTCGTGCGGTGGCGTAGCACAGAAGACGACATCGCTACAAAGGTTGTATTTTCCTGAAAGGCAGTCCTCACAATGACGGCAGGGGATGCCAGGCTCGAGAGCAACACGATCACCTGGTCGCAAATAAAAACAATACTATTAAATATATTGAACATACTGTGATAACATCGTCTGTTTCTTAGTTAATGCTTTTAAACCAAACCTGTAACCACGCAATGACGGCAAAGTAAGCATAATGATCAGTATTTGAATATAAAGCACTGGGTTGCAGCGCCAAGAGAAACGTTCGTTACTGTTGTACAGTCATTAGGGAAGTAACAGCACAATTTCGAAAACGAGGAAATGGCCTGCGATTGTGCTAGCAATGGTTCACGGTCTACTGGGCAGACTTCCCAGAATTACACTATGTCTACTTAAGTTTGCTTCGATAATAAACCTATGCCACTAAGTACACATCTTAGAACCGATAAACAGCTCTACGACAACCCTCTAAAAAAGGGCTCCTTTCGAAGTACACACAATTAACAGCTGGAACACCAAATGACAACGAAAGGACATTGTCGAGGAGTAGGCTGTTGTTAACACTTTTCAATGAAGAACCTCGTAGGCTCAATGGGACCGAAGCTACATAGCTATATAGCCCCATGAGGAAATTTTCATGCATAAAATGAACCGGAAGCGAATAATGTACAAATCAGTTCTACCTCGCACGGAAGAATGGACAGTGGCAGTTTTCTATAAATGTCGTATAAAAAAAACTTCGACCCCCAAATAAAACTCTCGGCAACCGCAATAGCTAAAAATTTAATACGTAATAACTTTTAATCATCTTCGCCCGTATTCACAGTTCAACCATTAAAACCCAATAACCTAATACATTTCTCTGCCCCGCCATGTTTTTCACCGTTTGTATTTTCTATAACACTATTCTAGAACTAAAGCTAGTTCAATTAAACTATACCGGTAGCCAATTAATTGGTCGGATTTAGCCGGCCACGTGCCTTGTAAGGCTTGCAGTGCCTTTTTGAACGGAAAAGCTCAAAGGGTAGAATAAAAATAGTCTTCATGATATATCGGTTGAGTGTAATAGAAAGCACTGAGAATTGCCAATCTTTATGAGGTCATGAACAGATCTTTTTCGAAATACTACTTCAGCAATTGCAGGCAAAACGATAACAAATCAGATAAGTGACTTTGCTATGATAGATGCTATCGATTGTACATGTATGATGAGTCTGTAATTTGTTCTGCTACATAATAATTATTTTGTACGTCGCGCTACACCATCAATTTTGCTATTGCCGTACTTTCGAATCGTGTTAAATAAGTTAAGTCAGATCACTACCAGTGGGTAATTAGAGAGACTATGTATGTCTTCTGTATAGTTCTATCTCAGATGATGAATATTGTTAAGCAATATGTTTTTCGCGCTTTTGAGCAACGCTCACAAGACGCTCCGACCTGGAATGCTCAGTTCCGTGTAAAATTACCTAAACAATTGTTTATATATATATTTATTAGCTAGGATAATCTATAGAGCGACACATTTCGCATATTCGTAAAAGCGCCATTCCTAACGATTGTGTAATCATTGCTGACCTCGGCTATAGCTTCAGTTCGAAGTGTCATGGAGAGGCTGGCTGGTCCCTCGTTCAATTACGTGTCATACACAACAACAGCAACCCAAGTCGGTCACATCTGGATTATACGGTGGCCATACGTGCTTTCGAAAACATGCTAAGGTTCAAGCAGCTAGCCCTAAGTAATCGGCTAATATAAACAAAATCACCTCGCCACTCTCCAGGCGCTAGTTACTCATAGCCGCCCAAAAAAAAAAAATTACGATCCTACACTTCCTCTCTGAGAGAACTGGAGTCTCTCAATGTCAGAGAATTATTTTAGCCTTTAAGGAGCATCTGGCTGGCTTCCACGACATGTACACATGTGCATGTACTAAATGCATAGCTCAAGTCTTCATAAATAACCATTAACATGAAAGCAATAATCAAATTCGCTTTTTTCGCTTACAACAACCTGATCAATACATTGATATCAGGGATGCATTTTCAGACAGTGTCGACCAACTCGAGTCCTCGTGAATTTTCCATCAAAGTGTGCCGAAACCTGTTAGCCTTCTTCAAAAGCCGCACGCTTCCATGCGAAGCGGCACACGGTCGACTTCGGAAAACCAGAGAAATTTATTGTCTAGATGGGGCTACGTCTACATCCTGAGTTCGTTCACGTCTTCCACGAACGAGCTCTTCTCTTACAAAGCCAGTTTTAGATTCGTTTTCCCATTGTTCATTCTTGAAGCCATAGGCGGTTAATAAAGTCCAATCATTCTTTATACATGGTTAAATTGAGATCGTTGACAAAGCTTTTTTGCCCTAAGAGCTAGCATCTTACTTGGACAAAGTGTTTTGCCTATGACGACCTAACGACAGTGTTAAAATAGTTTCTGCAAATATTTCAGCTGGAGCATCATCTGCACATAGTATATATGTATATATGAGTATATATGTGCAGATAATGCTCTAGTCTACGTTATATCAAAAAAAAAATTCAGCACACATTTTAAGTTTAAGAGCCCAGTGCAAAGAGTATTAGACTAACTACTGGGGGGTAAGTTAACCATTGTTTAATTAGATTAACTTTTGCATTGAGGTTCCAGAATCAGCAAAAAAATAGTTGACAATTAAATCTTATAGTTATTGCGGATCTGTTTCTTTTGCTAATGCCAATCTCTCTCAGATTCATCGCAAACACATAGTGATAATGCTGACCAAAAATTCCACGTAACCAATAATGGTTACAATTTCAGTCACCGCCTGATTCGAAAATTCGAACAGACATTTGCTTTTCTGCCATGTTTCGAAGACAACCCTCTAAACTTCCCGTGTCTTTCTGTGTGTTTCCTATCTACTTTAAACTAGGCTTTTATTACAGTGCTAGATTCTGAATAAATACATTGTTAAGAATGGCATATACCTCTCTTATTTATAAATATCAGCCTGTATATAACGACCATGAGATGCTTCTAGGTAGCAAGTAACGTGGAGATATATTTCAGGGTGACCTGTACAGACTGATTGCAATTCTTGCTATTGCAGCAAGCGCTTAAATGTAAATGAAACTGTCTAGAGAAAATGAAAACTACAGTGAATTAAACTCAGTGGTGGTACCGCGTTTGGTTTAGGGTTTGTATCGAGTTCGCGGAATATCATTCAATAGGTACTGATTCGTAGCCTAGACAGGCTTTTATGAAGGTTGGAAGTTTACTTATAACCGGTAAAGGCCTATGCATAAAAAAAAAAAAAAAAAAAAAAGTAAAACAGTGATACGTCAAATACACATAGGCTCAGTGGTCTGACATAGAAACCGTGAAGAACAGCCGCAGTTGTGCGAACCGTATTCAGCACAAAATAGCGTCTCGCTTATCTCGTACAGTACCTTAGATCGTGAAATATTGAGCAATGTACAAAGTACTCTTTACAGCTAAGTAAAGTTCGCCGGTTTTTTTTTTTTTTATTTAAACACAATAATATTGTACATTTCAAATAAGATGGACGAGAAGCCATCGATGTCGATCGAACTCAGGGAACGTTAGAATTTCACTTCGTCAATGACTGATGGGATTTAAGTGAAACTTGATGCCCTTTATGGATTGTTTTTTTCTTAGCTATACAAATACGTAAAAAATAAAGTTTTCGAAGTTCTTCCCCGTACGTTCACGTTACTTTCTGAGCTATTCGCCAAAGATAAATGCCCAACGTTCGCAACCACCCAGTCCTGATAGCATAGTTTAGTTGCCCCATATTATTGGTTGTACTATTCATGAAGAAAGCTTATTTGCAGGCGAGCGAAACACTCCGAGAACATTCAATTCCCATTTATTATATATATTGCTATATATATTATGTATATCTAAACACCACCGACTCAATGGACCATTGTCTTCATAGAGAGAAGCCACAACAAATTACTACCTATATATATATATACTTCTGTCTGTGTACCTAATAATCAAGTACACAGACAACCACGACAATGCTCCGTCCCGGCTGGAAACTATCAGCTACTACTAAAACAAAGCATTGCGTTTCACTTTCGGATTTACCTCCAGGGTCTCTCTGTTTCGGGGATCAAAAATCTGTCGTGCACCCTTCACGTTTGCTTCAGGTTCCAAATATTCCTTGAAACAATACTGAAGTAACTTACTATAGTAATGAGAATTCTCGATGTAAATTAAGCATAACGATGTATGCAACATAACGACTCTAACATAACGGGCGTGATGACTATTATAGAGTCGTTACGCCCGTTATCATCAAAACGGGTAAGATTCTTGCATCAGAAGCGTAAAGGTCCTAATATGACTGCCCAGTTCAGAAAGCGACAGACCCTCATATGACATGTTCCCGCAATACAGTGACCTCACACGCCATCTAAAATATACTGAGAGACGACAGTTGCGGCAGTTTAAGGCCATATGTGCATTATCAATTAGAACGCTGTCTTCATTGGCAGTATCATTGTTTTTATGCGACACTACCGACAACTAATTTTTGTGTGTGCGGCGTGATTTTCGTGTACATACGAAATTTTACGTTTCGGCTGCTTTCTCTGTATCCCTTACTTGGGGTAATATCGTGACAAACAGCAGTAAATTCAATCTATTTAATATCATAGAAAGGAAATGAAAAAAACGGAGTTAATAACTATTTTTTCCCGGAAATGTAGTGTTAAAATAATTATGAGATAATTGCATTTATATGCTGAAGTGAAAAAAAAATGCGTCCATAGCGATAAGCGCTTCGGATAAAAGTTTCGGATTTTACATGCAAAGGCAAATAGTCTGCTCGGTCATTTATTACCAGCATGTCTGTTCTATCGACATCTAGATCTTTTCTGATCAATTATATATAGAAAGGTCAGGAGATATTAAAGTAACAATCTAGCCTATTCGTTTTCAATATCGACTGAATGATTACTGATCTTCTTTCATTTTTTCCAGAAAACGAAGATAGGGAGCACGGCAAATCCGGCATGATTTGCACCAAGAGTCAGATAAAATGTTCATTATTGGTACCAATGCTATGGAACATGTTTAGATTTGCTCGGACTCAGCATTGCGTCTATTAGCGGCTTCGCAACTAACGAGAGGGCTTTGACGACGATCCTTGTTTTACATAATTTGTCACAATGCTGGAACATCGCCACGTCACCTTCAAGCTGCTAGCAACAAGGTGAGACAAAGACTTTCTAAAGACAGAAGATTTGCTTATAGCAAGGATCGTGCCGAAGGACCTAAATTCTACGCGAATATGTCAGTAACGATTTAACAAGTAAACAGCTTCAGTAGGGAGCCCGATTGGCTCTAACACATCGTTGCGCGTGAAAAAACGTAGGCGTATGGATATGGAATAGAATACAATATAAGAAGAGGTACAAAAGCGAATTATCTGAGTTTCGCTTAGACTAATCCAGTATAAAAATTTAGGCCAAAAATTTGATTCCCTTACCGTTTTTAAACTTTTGGACTATTATGCTTTCGTTCTAGATGGTTCTGCTACTACAAGAAATAAACCCAAATAGTTCTTGGAATACTGCAGCCCTCCACAATAGTGGACCCATCTCTTAATGTGGTGTCAGCTCATATCGCTTTTTATGGAAGAAGCTGAACCTCTTGCTTAAAATAAAAATATGTGCACGAGATCCGGCAGCCCCTGTGATATTTGCTTTTGTCCAGGCTCAAGAACATTAAAAAGATCAAGCTTTGAGATACCGCGGAGATTCAAAAAAAAACGACAGCAGAGCTTATATGTAATCCTACACACGAAAAAAACCGCTTTAACGACTGGAAAAACTGACGACACGTGCCTTAAGGCTGGCGGGGCTTACTTCGAACTGGACAGCGAGAGATTTAGGCGATTGAGGTACAGTTGGAATAGAGTGAAGTAGGCGACACTTCTATGGCGGACGGCGCTCAAGCGTAAGAACACTAACAGGCATGAATGCCTAGCTGCTGTTGGTTTTATGTAAAAACGCTTGCAACAAATAACTTCCTTTTCAATAGGCATTAAGCTTCGCTTGAATAGTAAAGTAATTAAAAGTTCTCATTATTATTAGAAGGAATCGAAAGAACTCGCCTAGAGTTCTTCTCCTAGAGATAAGAGTTTCCCCAATCAGGCCGTGGTTGTACTGTGCTTGACGTTCCTATATGTGGTAATTATTAACAAATCAGGTGAGAAATACGTACGGAGATAAATGTCCTCTGCGTACGCATAGCCTCTTCCAGCACAGACTCTATCGTAAAATAGAACAGATACACTATGACGAGGCTAACTACATTCCAGGTAATGGAGACGAGACTGAAAGCCTTACAGAGATTTGCCGACATTTTATATAACAGTGACTGCTAGAAGTTCTTTTACTGATTGAAAGAACCACCAACAAACATAATTTATATAAAAAATAATAACAAAATAGGTTGATTCATCACTAACCACCTTATAAGCACCAAGCTTCAACGTATCAGCTTTTGGAACCCATCCAAAAAATGGCGGCTAGCGTGGCCTGTTTAAAATCTAAACTTCCTCACGCCAACATATGAGCATCTTTGTGAAGCTAACTCACCAATACATTGACTACATCGAGAGTTTTTTCTGTGTAGACATGTAGAGGTGGCAGGCTGTTAAAAGATCGATTTCGGAATGGTAAGCTAAGCAACCTTACAAGTGACGTCTCCTGGTAAGAAAAACTGAATAGGCAGTAATCAATAGGCAGTAATCGACACAAGGTGGTGGCACTCGACCTAGAACAACAATCAAATTCTCCGAGAAAAGACGTTGCAGCTGTGGTACTAAGCGGTGATAAGCTTAGTCGGATGGCATACCGACAAAGCCGCTTGAATCCTTGTACATATAGCATGGAAGAACAGCCCAATCTGATTTGATTCATATATATATATCGTGATCAGAATTGTTCCTCCAACAATCTTCATGATCGTATTGATTAATGAACCGTATCAAACGATCAGAGTTCCATCGCCGCTTACGCTAGTGTAAGTGCTTCAACTTTTTTGTATTAAAAATTTGAGTTCCGTCTACCCAGCTGATTTTGATATTCCAGGACCTACGGCAACAGTCAGCGGTGTTTTCAGCTAGAGGTTGACTAATGCTGTGTCATCAATGATCCTACAATAAACCGAGAATGAATACAGTATGTATATCAGGCCTGTTCGATTTCGTCAACGTGGACGGCTGTCACCAGCAATGACGTTGTCGATATCTTGATTTTGAACACTTTTCCAATCGTTTCCCTTGCGTTTTCCTTGAAGCAACTTAATGCCACCATATCCCAGACAGTTCGACTTTCCTCCTCGTTACTCAACTTCACTTCTCTCCAAGTTTCTTTATATGTATATTGTACTTTGCATTGCAAAAGCACATTCCTTAAGTTTTACGTGGTCCGTTTTTAGACCCAGTGACATTTCCTTGTTTTGATTATTCATACAAGCAAAAAAAAAGCCGGTTTTATGCGTAGCATGTATGCTGTCTCGTTGAAGAATCAGAAGACATGTACCAAACGCCAAGCTGTCTTTCGTATAATGGCTGTTGCTTTTCTGTTGGCAGTAGAAAAACAAAAGCATAAAGCCTCGACCTCAAAGACAACGCTCGCTGCCCAGCTTCACTCGCAGTACAGAATCTCTAGGCACTACATCAATGCATCAATTGAGATTTGTTTGTTCATTTGAAGTAGCCGTCCGATTCCTTGATGTATTTTCAGGGAGACGCTCTAATCTCGTTTGATACATGGACAACTGCAGTCAAAGAACTTTAATTTACCGTGACAATGTTGGGATATATTGTCCCCGAAACGTTTTATGTACGGCTATGATGGTCTTCTACTACTACTATAATTTAACAGATGACTACAACAGAAACTTGATTGAAAACAAGACAAATTCTCCGTCTTCATGTGTTACGATGTCTCGCTCCGTAGTTCAGTTGATTCTGTTTTTAACTATCATCGATCGATGTGCTGGTAATCGTTTATTCGCTAGCGATATCGAAAAAAGAAAAAAAGATACGAACAAACATTATTGCACAGTAAATTAATTGTTTCCAGTGAACGTGTTGTTTTACCCTCATTAAACGTGGCCTTCAATTATTTACAGAACCTATAAAGAGCAGTAAATAAATCCCAAGATGGTACCTTTACTTGTATGAATATCCTCATCTGGTAATCCCGATTTGCAATCGTAACTTACCGATTTTAAGGTTCTCAACGTTAGCGCCGACTTTGCTAACCACTCCGGCAGTTTCATGCCCAAGTATAATTGGCTTGGTGACTACAAATTTACCAATTGCCCCATGCACAAGGTAATGTACGTCAGAGCCGCAAATGCCAACGCTACGAATGGACACTTGAACCTCTGCAAGAGAAACGAAGGACGCATTGTCAAACAACCCGAACTAAAGGTCTAAGGAGTACAAGGATATTGTACCTGTCAACTGAACTAGGAACAGCGCAGTGTCTAGCACGCTGCCTTCTATGTCCTCCTATAGAAGAGGTAGTTCCTCTGTAAACGTTTAAACCTTGACGTACAACACAGACTAACTAGACGTATTTACGATAAAACAAATCAATTAACGTCATTAGAAATAGTATGTAAGCCGAAAGCCCTTGAGATCTAGATTCAGATAGCGGATAAAGCAGTATCATTTGCTCGAAAGTAGCAGCCGATAGGTCAATAGAGTGAATGATATATGTGTAGAAAATGATTTTCGATGGCCGATGTGGTTCTCACCTGAAATCTTAAAGGGCAACAAATTTGTTTACGTTTATGTGCCATACGAACGCTGTTCGTAGCTGGAAATACTTAGATGCTAGCGAGGCGTAACCGTGAGCTAGCTACGTGGCCAATAGGCTTTCGGCGCGACATGCATTTATAACCACTCACTACCGATTGCGTTTTTTTCTTCACCTCATTCATTACGTTAACGACATAAATGAATATTATTAGTGTTATAAACATGAATGGCTAGAGAGCATTGTTCTTGGGGCCTTTACAGATCCTGGTCTCCATGGCTTCCATGCGAACCTGATCATACCATTATGTCTTTTTTTGTCCTCAAGGTGATTACAGTTTGTGATAGGGTAAGCGTTAGATGTCGGTCGAAACATTTACGAACTCGCGATCTAATATCGTATCGCCAAAGGGATAGTTACTGTGCCTAAATCAACGTTTTGAATCTACTGAAGTTCAGTTTCCAATTAGTTATGTACACTTGCTCAGATCCGTTTAGTAATACATGTGTCTATTTAGTTCAATAGATGATAAACTCACCATTAGCCTTTGGCTCCATGATTACCGTCTGTTCCTGCATAAACAAAGGAAAAGGCATTTGAAGTTTTTCATCCTGAAGTTTTCCCGTACCATTACCTTAAATCTACTTGGAAACTACATTGTAGAGGCACAATCTCAACATTGCTTAAAAATTCTGATGAAAATAGGTTGGCGAAATGAAAACGAAGGTGCCGATGAATCCGTATTGTAAATATACGTGACCAGTCATGGCCAATTCTGCCCAGTGGATGCGAACGTAGCACGAAGCTGTTTCTTTGGATATGCTATACCACCCCATTTTCACGTCGCAATCGATATCGAGCGATACCATTGTATTAACTGACTGAAATAATATAAAACAACTATAGCCCATTCTCACCACTAAGTTCTACGTTACAAAGAAGCACTATTTAGGAAGACGCGAAATATCAGTTCTGACACCGGCTATTTTTTATTCATTTATTGTAATGTTAGTAAAAAATGCGACTTATTATCTGCTACTCATCTTTAGATGTTTTCTTAATGGTTACCAAATAATAGAAACACACATATTACATAATATGTGCCGTTGCGACCCCCCAGTCTTTTCCAACGAGACGCTTGGCCGTCCCAAAGTACCCGAATAATGTGCTCAATTACTTGAGCTATAACACATCTCTAGAAAATCTTCAGCAGATAGTAACTTTCTTGCTTTTCTCGAACGTTCACGTTACCTTAATTTCAAAATTATCGGTTTCATTAATAGATAATTTCATAACGTCTACCTTTTCTTTGAAAGCTTCCTATGCACGTTCGAGTTCTGAGCAGATTAGAAATTTGAGCTACTTACCAGACGCATGTCTCCTTTCTTGTACAGGACACAGCTAAGGTTATCCAGAGGTGCCATAGTTTTATTTTTGATCCGAGTCCTGCAATTAATAGATGGATTAAAATATGCTTTATGTAAATTCAGCAGGTTTACTTGCACATTAATTTCGTACACGGAAATTCCGCGTTGATCGATGGCAAGGCGTCGTTCCTGCCACAGTGAACAGCGACGAAAGTGTGTGTGTTCTTTCTGCCTAGCTTGGAAATGTTATTTACAGCTGTACTCACTCACTGATCAAAAATTATTGCAACAAATCGAATATTTAACTGATTTTTTGTACCGTGTTTTTCAGTTTTTATACCGCAATTTCAAGCGTGTCACGTTGCTCGTCTGTGATAGTTCTGAAAATAACATACTTTTTAATGTTCACAAATTGCAAAGGTTCTGCGGAATTTTTATTAGCCTTTGTTGGATTTCATCCGTGTGCGAGCTGCAAAGTTAAATCACTAACTTAGAACGTGCCTTCCAGCGTTTACTATTAATCGACAGAAGTTCTTTTTTCTGATTTCTGATTCGTTCAATCGGTAACGTTTCAATCAATTTCAGCGTATTCGCTGATAACACCAGGATGCATAAGTTAAAATACAAATAACAACAGAACAACCTTGTTTTGTACAAGAGACGTCGTCACCAGTTACGTATCAATAAATAACGAAGAAAAATTCATAGTACTTGGGTGAAATTTTATGACACGCACAATTTCGTTCGTTCGTTGGTAGACATAAACAAGTTACGAGTGAACTAATCTCTCAAGTCGCCTGATTCATTGTTTTCGATTCGACATGTATGGCAAATGTATGTTATATTTTATAGATTTTTTTGAGGTCATACTCGAACCGAGTAACTTGGGTTAAGTTTGTTTGACGCGGAGTGATTCCGCGGGTTGCTCTCACTTATATAACCGGTAAACATACAAGGTAATATATTCCACCAGATGCTGAATAATAGCTGTTGGTTGTTTTAAAGATTTATTAACAACGTATTTATAGATACGCTTCCTTTAACGTCGGCATCGTGGCGTAAGTGCATCTTCAGTGCGTTGCCGTGCTAGCATCTGTACTGGCTCAAATCTCGGCCTTGACACTCCCGAAGTTGATCAATGGATTTCTTGAAAGCCAGCTCAATTTGCAATCATACTGCTAAAGTCCTACGTAATAAATGAGTGTTCATGTTTACTCTTGGCTCGTACGAGTTGACACGACGTCGTCTTCTGGCTAATAGGAACATATTACGTAATGGTTCGAGCGACGTCTTTCACAGTTTCAACGCGACCGAGCTCGTTGTTTATCGAATTCTATTTTGCTCATTCTTTGCATTTAACACTTAATGGAACAATCCCGAACGGGCAAACAAAGGCAATTCGAGTAGAATGTGGCTTTGAAACAATTTCTCCCTTTGTAGGTTGACAATGCCATAGAATTTCGAGGCAAAAAGGGGGGTACATAGTTAATCACAGAAGGGGAACAAAGCCACTGGTGCATAACACTAAATAGTTGGCTGTATGGTGGTTGCAGACAACGTTATCTCGTTAGACGCCTCATAGACTCGTATTCTGTGTAATGTTAAGCAACCTTCGTTGGATATCGAATCTTGCAATACACACAAAGCATTAAATAGTCCATTTAGCAGTTTGTAGATAGAAATAGGCCTGTATTTATGGTCTCTGTCTCATTGTGCTGTTGTGACAACTGATTTCATAAAATGGTGGATCAGATCTTTGTTCGATAGCAAACTGGTCTATATCTAGAGCCGTGTGACTTGACAAGACAAAATTGAGGATTGTTCAGAAAAAAAAGCTAATTAAAGGATCGTACTCAGGCCGTAAATCAGAAACACAATGATAAAAATAGAAAAATTACCGAAAATTGGATCGTTTTTGATTTTCTGATCAGCGAAACCGCTAGAAAATATTCAATGGTCGTGTACTTAACTCTATTTACTGTGTTCTATCAACATTTAGCTGCTATATATTTAATTAGATTGAATCTGTTAATTTCAGTTTTTCCTCTGGCTGATTAGGCTGTTATTAAAAAAATTCCCAAAATGTGTTTATTATTTCCCCTCGTATTTTTTCAAAGCTCAAGCTAATTATTAAATTTTTGGTTATGCTGCAATTGCCATTGAATTCCTTAATTTACTCGTTTTACAGTATATTCAAGTGGAAGATGAATACATGGATAATGGGCCTCTAAAATACCTGCCATGGAATAAACACTGATCTCGCTTTATAGACGCGCAGTGTAAGGTAAAAGCTTCTTGTCAGCTTTAGGGTTATATATATATATATCCCTCGGATATATTACATCAATATGGATGTTATCTATTTTGACCCAAGGTGAAATTTGGATCCCGAATGTTTGTAAAATCGCCGTAGTTCGCGTATTCCAGCCTATCATATAACTAAAAACGCGATATATATATATATATAGTAAAATGCTTTCAGGGGCTGTGAAGAACAAAAATACACCACGAAGGCATTATGGTACTCTGGAGGCTTTAAGCGTAATAATAATAATTTATTTGCGATACAAATGAAGTTAACTCGTGGGTAAGACGAGCTTTGCTTCCATTATCTATTCCTTCCCAAAAAAATATTCTTCCAGACAGTTTCTAAAGCAATAATAATATATATAGATGTTAATTATTGCATGGTTACTAATGGAATACATGTGATCTTTCATTCAATAAATGAAAAAATCTTAAACGAATGCTAAAAGCGAATAATGGTTATGTAAATTTACATAACAAAATAAATCATTCACAAGCAACTATTATTATTATTACTACTGCATCTTTGGCCAAAAATATTTTCAAATTATATCTAACAACTTTTTAATCTTCCGGGGTGAAACGTAGCGGTTTGTCTTACGATAAATCCGTACATTTATTTGCTCTACATATATTGCGCCATCGGAGCGTATGTAAGGTGAAAAACTTCCGACGAAACTTCCGACGAAACTTCCGACTGAAAAGCGACGAATCTTGATAATTCAAAGATAGCCCGAATGGACGATGAACCGTTCCAAGCACTCATGGGGGTTAGGCCCATGGCTCTCATGAGCCCACGGACAACTAACGATACCGACGATATAGAAACACATGGGCTCAACATGATCCAGTTCATTTTCAGAATCAAGAATATCGACACTAACAATAGACTTGAAACTCGAGTACCATGAGACTGAAACTGTGAGCAAAAGAGAAATCAGGCATCGGTTCGTGCGACTCAGCGCAAAAAACCAGGACATCTAATATCTAGATAATCAAATATACGTAGATCCGGAACAGAACCTTAGCACCGAGTTCATTACTAAACAGTTCCGCACAAAACCCCCTTGCAAATGCGTACAACTACAGTACAGTTTGAACCAACTGCGCATAGAATAAAAGTGAAGTTCCGGAAACTCCTCTCTAATAAATACATCGTGGAAGATCCAATACGGTTGCAAGAGGAAGCGTCGTCGTCCCCCCCCCCCATTATACGAACGGCTTATACGTTTATAGAGAGATTATACCTAACATTACAAGTTATATCATTACTGTTCCATTAATTCATTTGATCGCCATGCTACCAGAAAACAAGACTCATATGAATGGGAGAAATTATATATATTTTATGCAAATTTGTTGTTTTCAACGGTAGGGTTAGTACCGCCATAATACATACTGACAAGGCTTCATAATGATTTGGCATCAAACCCTTTATAATAATAAGTACTCTTTTCTTCCTGATTACCTTTATTCTAAATAAGCCTTAATATTAACGTGTCGCGGGTACGTTTGGAGTGAAAAAGCTTCACAGAAATGGTTATAGTTTGCAATCTGTGCATTTTTGCACCATATGATAATAGCATCGTAAACACTGTGCGCAGTAAAATTTAAATTGCCCGCCGAGTGAATGTGCAGACCGGTGACCAATCAACAGAGAGAATATCGAAAACGCTTCAGTGACGACTGAGATTATTTGTGCTATACATTCCTATGGCGGCTCGGCTCCGGTATGGGAATAAGTGACAGAAAATTTCCAGTTACAACAATAGATTCAGAAAGTAGAACTTACAAGCGACTCAGGTCCTTTCTTCTTGGTGCTTCATCGAGGAATATCACTTGATATAAAAAATGGAAACACGAATATTTCTCACTTGATAATTCACAAATTCGTATGTGCGTGACCGAGTAAAACAATACTTTATTCATTAATAAAGTAATAATTATTGTACGAAATATCAGACAAGTGCCCATCTAACGACATAATGTAAAGCAACAACCAAAAGTACACTTTACCACTTGGACGATGTGTACTCCCGAGAGTGTTTAGATCATCAGCTGATACTCGATGGTTTATTTACAAGCAGAATAACTACAGCGAGGATTCTTTTTGTTGTAAACATTTATGGGCCAGTTTTGTGTTGATGTTGACTTACGCTTTAGCCTTGAATCTAAAATACGCTAATTCACAAACGACGTTTTTGAAAATTTACAGACTTATACGAAACGATAGCTGTTAACAGGTCTCTGTGTAACTCAATAATAATTAAGAAAAAAAAAAGAAACAGTTATGGGCCGCAACATTTATCTGTTGAGTGAGAAAATGGGATGTGTTGATAAAGAGTAGCGGAAAATCTGTTCGATCTAACTTCTGCATTTTCGTCTTAAGGGTATCGTCATTCGAGTTCTACTAGCCAAAGTGATAGAGATGACCATATGAGTAACCGTCGTTTCTATAACCGATCGTCTTCTATAACTATATATATATATATATATATATATATAATTACCAGCTACAAACACATCTTAACACTTCTGGAAGTTTCGAATTTTTCGAAAAAAAGTAATGTTGTCAATGTCTAATCATTCTTTCTTATTTATAAAATTACAGAGAATTGGATAAAAAAAGCTACGGTATTTTATGCGAATACATGTAATACTACAACTTGTAGATATTTCTTTAAAAAGTAACTACTTATGGATTTGCGGAATAATACAAACAATATTATCGATCACAGAAACTCGGATGTAGTCGTCTAGAACAATGCTTGATCTGCATTCTGTACCATATCAAAGCGATATGAGATGGGGCGGAAGTAATGCGTTTAAAGCTATGCTACAGAGCTGTCTGTTCACGATATATTATACAAGCATCATTATACATATATTAGATATAAAGACCTTCAAGGCAGATGAAACAGTAGCTTGAATTCAAAAAGTATACAGTTCAAAATTATAAGGACGTAAGCAGGCCCCGTTAATTAAAATATCATGGGAATCGGTTTGACGTTTGAACCTATAGAAATTTTTAATTTTTACTTCGAAGTAAACAAATGAGACAAAGTTCCTACTGTGATTATGTATCAGCTCTATAAAACGGAAGTTTCGTATCTAGCCCTGAATCGCACATATAACCCTACACTGCCTAAAATATTGACCACTTTTCAGTAGTAATAAGCATCTAAACAAGAAGCGTCACCAGAAAGGATTGAGCCGCCTGATTGAAGTAGACAGTGTGAGACTGAACCTGGATAAGTGTCTTCCACAGAAACGCACACCTTTTTTCAAACTATCCCAAGCGCCATATGCCGATAACTGGCCTTAAACCAGCGCATCTAAATTTTTTCTCAGCTAGAAAAATTTCGTTGTTGTCTAAGTCATCGTACCAACAGGTTTCGACACGAAAATATTCAAGCCTTTAGCTATTAAATAAATTAATTTTCAAAAAAACGATGGGGGAGGGGGGGTAGTCCATATTTGTAAAATTCTTTGGTAGTTTTATTTACCATTAAAACCTGGATAATTTCGATGTTGTATAATTAAAAAGCACGCTGGAAAATGAAATGAAAATGAATCAGAACTAAAGGAGCTATGAAAATGGCCGTGTGGGTTCTAGTCGCCAGACAAAGTACGAGAAACACCTTACGTGCACCCCAGATACAATGAAACTTCAATAAGCTGAAAGCAAAAAGTGCTTCATCCGCGGTCAGCGTTTCATCCAAAACCGCGTACTGTGATTTGAACAGTCGTTCCCGGTCTAAGTAATATCGGAATAGATGTTATTTGACTTTGGAACGTCATTCCTACGATACAATCTATGACGTTCTTGGGATGTCCCCAATTATTGCAATGGAATCATTCTGCAATACGTCCTCATAAAAGCTTACAATATCGACCGTGTCGTATATATATATATATATACCGTGTTAATTGTTATTTACAGTGACCTGCTAAAATAGACCTACTTGTCGCTTACCCTTTGAAGAAGGAAACTGTCTAAAGTTTGACGCAAGATGATCGCACCACTTGGTCACTCAAAGCTAGCCTCCACACAGACAAACCGATGACAGTACGAAGCGTACCCTCGCGAAGCAGGAACTACTCTGGACAACAGCCGGCGTTGTTCTCGTAACTGTGGAGTAGACTGTCACAACTAGCTGACTGGACAATCCAAAACAGCGGTTGCAACTACAATGGCGCTAGCAGCGGCAGCGGTAGCAGCGATAAGCCCAATAGAAGACAGAGGGTGTGATACTAGTATACATACATACATAGTATAGGATAAACACCACCACTCAACTGTCTTTAGCGTAGAGCGTCGAACTGCTAGATGAACGAAGCCTACGCACTGCGACGGCCGAATTCGACTCACCCAAATGCAATGAATCAAAATAAGGCTAGGAGTGAGAAAGCAGACGTTGTAGCGTTTATATCGACTATTATCGGTAGAACCACTGGCGATCAAGCAACAGCAATATAATGTGATCGAGCTGAGCCTTCGCTAGCCGCGAAAAGTTCTAGCTATGGGAGCAACTATACTAGAGTACTGTAGAACAAATGAATGCTACATATATGTATGTGTATACATATATAGTATGTGAGAAAAAAAGGAGGAACAAAGTACGAAGTCATTTCCAGGCATAAAGGCTTTGAGTAAGGTATTAGTAAGTGCTCCTCTAGTCAACTTATCATTGAATAAATATGGTAAGACCGTGCACTTGTGCATGTGCAGTGTGCAGAAAAATGACCCTGTTTGCCGTCGTTGTCTATCAACCAGCATGCTATTGAATGTTGGGCCGCATTCCTTAGTTGATTAGTTTCTTACTTATTTTTTGGTTATCGTCCTGAAAATCTTCGCCGGATTTTTGAGAAACTACATGAAAACTGGGAGTAACGTAAATCGAAAAATTCAATCAAAGGAGGAAGTTCATAATTTCCGTAAAGACTCGTCCTTTGCGAACGCTATTAGAGTATTACTGGTTCTCATTTGAATTTTAAAAGAGTGATGCATTGTTTCATTATTATGAGTCTGTTGATTTTTGCTATTTTTTTTTTTCGGTTTTTCTTTAGTACCAAAAATAACGAGTAGGTGTATATTTGCCATGACAATCAGTCTAGGATTTGAGTGTCCCTGCATATATATACATCGTGCATGATAAGGGAATCTAAAAAGGAACGGCAGTATTCTATGAAGATATATACATTTTCGTGAATGATAGCTTTCGTGTAAATTAGAAACGAGTAATAAGATTCAATGCACCTTACCCCGTATAAATATGTATCATTTCCTTCTTAATCTATAGCAGAGTAGTATTGTTTTATCTATCTGAAGTTAGTTAAAGGAGAAATGTTTTTTCTTTGATCGATTTGACAGTGGGACACGCTTACTGTTTTCTAGCTAGTCGTTCGCGTTCGCGAATATTGAAGTGGAATGATTCAGGCCCATCTTGTTTTGAACAGCCCAAGACAAGAGACAAAAGCCAGCTGACTTTCTGAAAACTCGTATTTGATGGTAAGTTCTAATTAAAAAGAACTATCGATTGAGGTGCAAGCTAGCTAGCTAGCTAGCTAGTACATTGAAGTGCAGCATTAAGATGAACCAGAAGCATCTATGATGAACCGCTATTAATTCACCTGAAAAATCACACTGCGCATTGAGATGAATGAGAAAAATACGTAAAACCTAAAACTTGCGACCACAGTCCTTACATCAGCCTTAATAACACAGCTTCCTATGTAGGGTACTCGATACGCTAATTATTCACAGGGCTTTGCTATGCAAAGAAAAAGAGATACAGAATACGCGGCATAACAATAATAATTAGCACTTCAAAACTTATACATTGATTTATGTTCCAACTCATCTTATGATATCCAACTAGCAAAGTTCTTCTGCAGGTGGAAAAATTACTTCGTACAAAAAGATTACATAAAAACTGTGTGGCAAAGGAAAAAGCCTTGTAAGGCTGTGTTCGTCCCAAGTGAGGTGAACCCGTCGCTAAAGAAATGCATTTATTTTCTTCAAGTTTTTGGTTGGATTTATTAAATAACATTTAATAGCGATCTAAATTTTTCTTTCAACTCTCATCGAGTTTAAGGTTTCTAATGAGCAGCGCAAAATACTTGTCTAAGCCTACCCGAAATTCGGAAAGATCTAAAAACTATAATCATGCTCTTGGACGTGATTCTTTGAAGCACTTTATTCACTATTACAGTTTACGTAGTTACGTACCGTGACAGACGCCGTTTTCTAACTAAACCATTTAAACAAACGATAGAACACGTTATATAGACTTCAGAACTGAGATTCGCCACCCATAACCCTATGTCTTATTTTACTACAGTCAACGCGTTATGATCATTAGGGACAATATCGGCACTTTCAACTCTTATCATTTAGTTCAGATTTCTGTTTAGATCGATGCCTATCGCATGATCTGACCTAGAATCTAAGCACGTATCACTATGATTTAAGCTGCGGTATCGGCTAGTGCCTTTGAGAGCATTTTCAGCGGAACAAACGGGAAAGGTTTTTTAACGACCTTTGACAATTGAAGTGGTTTTCCTTCACTGTCGGACGCGGAGCTCTTAGATGGATCTATCGTTGCTGGGGCTTCATTATTTGGTGTTTTCGTACCGGTATCCGATGATAGCGGGCCAACGGTTGTTTTTGGCGATTCATTCCCATTCAACAGTAATTCGTCCGAAATGTGTCCTACTTTCAAACTTGACAATGCCTTCATGAAAGCTGCTTTAGGATCAATGATCGACTCCAACGCTGTCGACGATGACGAGTCAGGGTCACCGCTGGAATTTTTCATCTCTCGAAGGACTTTTAGAATTGCCATGTGAATTTGATTTGCACCCATCTTTCTTGAAAGACCTTTTGTCAGATCAGTTTGGGCTGGCTTTCCGATATCACTATCACCACTGATATCATCACCATTAAGGAGCTCAGCTGCTACATTTGAAGCTATCAGACTGGCAATATTACTCGCCGCATCGAGATTAGGCTGCGCCCAAGCCGAAGCCGTAAATGCTAATAGAAGTTGCACCATAAGATAGACCCACATCTTGCTTGCGAATGTTCGAACTATCAAGAGGAGCGATCGAGCGTTTGAAACGGTTCCCGAGGGTCCGATAGCGTCAACGAGTATGAGCTCAGAATTGACCCGCCACCAGCATTTTGCTGGACGTAACGGAAAGGAAAGTGTGAATCTATAAGCGAGGAATCAGAAGTATGAAACTCTCTTAGCTTCCGAATATATTGAGTTTCGTAAATATTTGCCTGACCTCGAAGTTCTTGATGGCAGATTTTTCTCAAACAGTCGGAAGGGCTTAATCCGTTTACGGTTAAACACGAATCTCATCTACGAAACTTCCTTGTACACGCTGAACGTCCTATCTTGCTTGTAGATTATCAGTTTGTTTACATCATCTTTAGCACTGTTCACTTCAAGCCGTAGTCGGACAATCTCATAGCGCCGTTTCAATAATCAAAAAAATTATAACCACACAGATTCATTATTGCTTATTCTTGCTATGAATAACTGGCGAACTGCGTCCGGGACAAGTACAAACCTGTTTTATCTTGAGGGTAAGATTGTATTGCCAAATAAGTAGGTGGATGTCGGGGAATTGAAATCATGTACAGTAATTCATAGCTACTTTCGATTGCCCTTTGCCCCGTTGGCTCTGTGTTTACTAGATATAGATTTACCCTAGTAAGGTCTGCTTTTTGAAATAAGTAGACATCTACCTATCATATATTACCGCCACGGCAAGCACGGGTACTCTATTATTTTGAGTTCTGTAATACATCGTGTTTCTTAAACGATGGATGATAAATTAATCAAGGTATCCACCACATGACGCCTTCATATATGTCTGCGCGTGCATGTTCCAGATGTTCAGCGAAGGGAAGCCAAATTCAGACTTGAAGCTGATATCAGCGTAATAGGTTTGTATTTGTCTCTGATAGATTGAAACCTATCAATCAAAACATCAGTTTTCTTTATAAACATCTAACAAGATGCCGATAATGGTACCATGTAACGTACAGGGAACCTTTTCTAAGGCTCTGTGTTGTAACATAACTACCATCGACCATATATGCATGGCCATATAAGTGACATGTCACAATGGATGGATTGTCCATAGACTTCGATCACAATTTAAACGTTTGAAAACCACACCCAAAGATGTGTCTGTGTGGATAAATAATAGCTTTCTTGTCATAACATATTTTTAAATAAGGTCAAAAATAAATAAGTACGCCTATGCGAAGATCTGCTAGCAATTATCACTCTCTTCGTCTTCATCAGTGAGGGAGATGTAGATATGATAATACTCACTTAAAACCTATAACAGACACTCAGGAAGTCCCTCGTTCATAACAAGAAACAATTGATAACTTAGTGAATAAAAACGATGCATAAATATTTAAACACGAATCAGGCAAACAGTTGCCTGATGATCCGTGCAAAACGTTTGTAATTTGTATATCCGCTCTTACGTTGGCTATGATTACAGGTGTAACAGGTCACGCAATTGTTACCGCGCTGTTAGGCGATTAAGTTTTACTTCTGCAACCGTGTTAAGCTTCGTAATATGTTCCAAAAATTTATAAGGCCGCTGGGCCCCAACTCAGGCTCATATTGGCTTTCTGTGTATATCTTTATACTTCGTTATTACCTATACGAGAGGGGAGCTTTAAGTATGTTTAACTCCTGCCTATCCTGCTGCCACCCATAACGGAAATTCAACAGGTCGACTGGCCTGTTTCCAGAATAAGTAAGTAACGACAATGTCCACCTATGGCCGATAAACTCTAGATTTCTGCTGGTAAATTGTCATACCGTATCCACAGATTGAGCTATTACTGCTGTTTCAGTCAACGTGGGATGTCCCTTGCTTAAGCATTAACACTGTCCAGGTGGTGCCGTGGTAGTCCATATTTATTACATTACTGTTTATGTTTCTTAATATAAATCCATGTCAATGATTTAAGCATTGCAACGAGTTTAGCAATTGTTATATAGATTATACAGATATATGTAGGCAAATGGCAACGGCTAAATGACAAATGATATTTATCATCTGTTATTTTAAACGTCCCATTCTCCATTATAGTGTCTTTTTCATTATAAAACGATTAAAAAAAAATGTTGAATGAACAGGAAGCAACTTTCAGCCAATTTTAAAAAAATCGATGAAAAACTAACAAAGATAAAGAAATGTTTCGCGATGACACGTAGAAGATAAAATATATCGTCGCCTATTGCTGAATATTTTCCAATCGCTTCTCTATAATCAGTATTTCATCATCGTGACTGTGATTGTCGGCTTTAATTCTTTTTTTTTTCTGGCTTCTTCTCCTTGTGATTAGCTGTTAAGATTGAAGAACGCTGAAATGGTCACTTATTAGTTAGGATCAATTAGAATATATTAAGTTACTGTGATTTTTATAATCTAAAGCTATTTTAACACATATGATATAGCTTCGATATAGTAACGTCATGTTGTACACGTATCCCAAAGGATTACCAGCGGAAGTTGTCCGACCGGGCTGCTTTTTAGAGAAATGTCAATGAAGTTACCGTAGGGTGAGTATGATCAAACTTACTCATGACAGCCAAAGTGTGCACCTATTCGTGTATTTTATTCTATCTATTAGTGTAGCCTAAGAATGCTTCAGGTACGAATAGATCACATATGGCCTAAGTATGACAGCTGTCTTGTATTTTCAGAGAGGCTCTTATTGCTAATACACGTTTTGTATATGTTATCAAATGCAGATGCTCGTTTATTGCAGGAAGAGGATTCCGTATTCACGCACCGTGATAATAACGGATCGTGCGTCGAGGGAGGCGAGAAGACTCGTTGACAAAAATATTGCTGTTTTATCTCTAACTTATTTGGCCGGTAGCATTTTAGAGAAAAAGAATCTAACTACGACGTTAAAGATCTCGTTACCCCGTTGTTCTCTGTTAGAATAGTGACATAGATTCTAGTAAAATTATTAGAATACGTTGTTAGTCTGTGTGTGTTATATAATTTTTCTGATAATTTTCAGACTAAAGTGTTATCGGTCTTTCGAGCGACGAAGCTTTAGCGTTTGACCGGTTCTGAATGCTGGCCTGATAGGCAGCATCATGTTCTCCTTAGGCACGTCGATTATAACAGAGTAGCTTTGTCCTGATAGAATTGAAAATATTGGTGTACCTTGGTTTTCGATAAGGGAAGATCCGAGTTACGCCAGAGTGATTGAGTCAAAATATCTTTTCTAGGACGTTGTAGGGCTGTTACTTGGGGCGGGAAGAGCCTGAACGGACCCTTACTGATCCTCAGCACAATGTTGTAAATATATTTTGGCTAAAACGAGGATGTCCAGTGATAAAAAATACAGAATTAAATTCAGTGGTCAGCAATTACCGGCCAAGGCAACAGATCGCGTAAGAAGCGTAGCGGCATATTAAAAGAAAACAGAACTAGAGCTTTTTATTTTGAACATTTCTAGTATTCTTCGCAACGACCTTTTGCAGGTCCGCACTGTCCTCTGTTATAGCGTCTTATCGGCTCTTATCGAGCTATATAACGCGTCTTGTAACGTTTTCAAGAGATCGAGAGCTGAACTTTACGGTTCTTAGTTTTTTTCCTTGGAATTCTAAAAGCACTCAATTTGAATTGATTCTTTCATGCAGCGTCAAGTAGATAAGCTAATAGACCTTACCAATTTGGAATGGAAGTCGTTTGATGAACCTGCTTTCTGTTCTTTGAGACCCATGTTTTTAATCAGTGCAAGCCTATTGCTGGATGCAAATCCCATAAACAAAATCCTTATTCAGAAAGAGGAACGTTCTGGCTCACGGAATGTTAGACACATTACTCTAATTCGAGTGTTACAACGTTAAATGTCTATTCAAATAAGGAAATTGTATACTCATAATCCTACGAGGTTATATTCTTTTATATTAGTTCTTTCTGGCGAGTGTTTAAATGAGTACTGAAATTATCAGTTCAAGCAGAAGGTCATAGAAAAAGGCCCCAGTGTCGGATCGTGTCTTCAACCTCAAAGCTGAACCTGCGACGACCTCCACTGAACAAAAATGGATATTATTGATGAAATTCATAAAGAAATACTGTATTCGAAAGCTTTTCGTTCTGCAAAGAGAGAAAAGGGTCACGTGATTTTTTAAAATAGAACTAAGATAAATTCGACGGACGGTCGTTGAAGTCGGCTTGCACAAGCTAGTCTTATGGCGTGAAGAGAAATTGATTGCTTTGGCCAATAAAGCAATCGAATAGACTTTGAAATTGACCAAACGATTGATGCTACTATGAATATTGATTTCGTCATTTCATGCCTCTGTGCTTTTAAGTCAATCCCGCAACATAAAGACAGTCGCTGTTGTGTGAGATAAAGCATATGCCCATCGTCCTACCTGAGGTATCATATCGTTAGGCAGAGATGCTTTTACGATAGCAAAATTAGGACATATATTAGTGACGACTAATAGCTAAACTTACCGTATGTCAGAAGAAGCTCACTGTAGTGCAAGCCTTTCGAAAGGCAAGATGAAGCGTCAATTTTCCGATATAGAAATTCGGCTTGCGTATGATTCGGATGACGCGCGCTATTAGGCGTAACTTTAACATTAAATCTATAACTAGACGAGTAAACGTCCCGCATTAAGCATTTCAGCCGATCAGCGTGTAAAGAAGTTTTTTTTTTACTGTTTTACGTGTCCACGTAGCATAGAAACTTTTGCAATTCTGAATATGGAAAAAAATCATAGCATAAGAAAATATTTAGACAAGATATGTGAAATAGTGGCTACTATATTTAAACCAAAACCAGTCTATGGAAGAGTTTGACAAGGACTGCCCCATACTATCGCTAAACATGTCGGAACGGTAGAGAGAGAGGTGTCCAAGAAGATTAACTTGCTAGTGTTGGAATTAAGCGCGCTCAGCAGAAGGTTGCTTTAGCAAGACAGACATTACTCGGCACTTTGACGCAAATGAAAATATTGCAATGATACTTATAGGTAGATTTTATATATACATATATGTTCGAAAAATCAAAAGCAAATTCGCAGAAATCAAGAAGGCTTTTCAGCTTTTATGCGCCCATTTTGTTGACACATATTGTTGACCAATAATAGTCGATCCCATAGGTAGTAAGCCCAAGCCCAGCTACCACTAAGCATCTGCTGTGAATATTGCGTCTACTAGGACACTCAAGGGTAATTGCATCATACAACGGACCACAATTTATCACTACTCAGTTCGTCAATCTGCCTGCAAGCCATCCTGCTTCCTCCTTTAGTATTCGGCTTACATTACAGCAAGGAAGACTGTAGACGCTGTAAGAAAACATCTTCGGGGAATGCCTAAAAATACTGTTTCAAATTTCCATGAGCCGCTAACCGGATACTCAAGGATGTGAAGGGCAAGCCTGAGGAACTTATTGGCCGATTTTATTAGGAAAGCCAGTGGCAAATGGATCGAGAAGGACTTATAACCAACATTATAGAGAAATCAAACGTCAACCCAAAGACAAGTCTTGTCTAGGATGTACATTTATTTATCTACTCTGCTCCATGACGTTTCGCGCGATATAAATGTCGGTAATTTTGCTTTAAGACTAAGCGCAGTGTTTCGGTTCGAGGGTTGTTTGCTTAATAATTAAATCGTCGATCTATTCGAGTCTCATTTTTCGCAAGATAAGATGTGCTACTGTGTGTGTGTGTGTGTGTGTGTGCAGAAGAGTAAATTCATTATTTTAATACAAAACTGTGAAACCTTCGCGGGCAATTGTCGCTTTTTCTATTTATAAAAGTCTTTGTTTATGTTTTCTGTACAGCGACCGTTGCATATTATGGAAGGAATTAGTCTAGAATTAAATGTGTTTATTTTTTTAAGCTTTACCGAAACATTTGAAATCCAAATCGTGATATATAACAAAGAATACACTAGTTATTGAAATTGTTTAGGCGTGACCTGTTTAGCGGAAGATTACTGAATTCAAATTGTAACTAAAAAAAAAAACCAAGACATTGGGGTAAGAACAATATACCCGAAAAAGTCAGAGTTGATGCTAACAACGCAGCTGACGCCTCCACGGACATCACTGCCGCCGAACTTCGTACAATTTAGATTAAGTGAAGGCTTATGAAAGAGCTCCACATAAAAGGATTAGCTATGTCTTCATTCTGTACCATACAGCGAAGGTTAGTGGGTTGTATACTAATTGACCCAACTTTTACCCATTACCTATAAAGTGTTAACTAGTTAGCCCTATATTTCGAATAAAATGGGAAAGCCCGTGCCTATCGTTTAAGGCGCCGACCTACTAGATTCGTTTTTCGGAACAACGACACATGAACTGCAGATACGGAGATTGAAAATGTCTACGGATGGGGACCAGCGTACACAGGCTTTGTACTAGAAATCACTGAATGTCCGACTTATCCAGCATAGCTGTTTGCTAACTGTAGACAAGCTTTTGAATATATACATATATATATATATATATATATGTAATCGGTGCACAGATTTAGCAAGCATTGAAAGTTACATAAAATGGAAGATTTACATCAGAATCGAAATTCAAAGCACGAGACTCTTATTAAGGAATTTTCGCAGCCATAAACCATAATCTATGCCCTTTTTTCGGGCTAGCTCAGCTTCTTGAGGAGTGCTTTATGCGTTTGACAGCGCTCATGCATACCGTTACGAAGTTGTCGTTGTCAACGAGAGCTACAGATAGGAGAAGAGAGACCGGGCAGAGGCAAAAAGCGTTCGCAGACCGTAAATCATTTAATGTGGTAACTACGCCCTTTCCCTTCTCGTTGTCCCGAGTCTGATCAGTTTCCGTGTCTTCCAGGTCGCTACACATCTCTGAAAAACACGTACTTCAGTAGCGTTAGTTTGTTCCTTACATGCTTTAATGTGTTTTGCGGGTCTGGCTACAGATCAATGAACGAGCCGCTGCGTACTATTCCGCTGTTCGGGCTTTGTTATACCGTGGTGCTTCACGCGGTGGAACACGGAACTTGTCTCTATACATTCCTATAGGGAAATTGAATGGGACGCGGTTATCCTAATGTGTCAGGCAACATCTAAACTGGTACGCTTCGGATATAAAATTAGAGCTCACACATTGTCAGAATGCCCACATTTATTTAGTGACGGCTTACCAGCATTTCAAGGAAAAAAAAGTTTTCTGCGTGGCGCATTTTAAAGAAACGGCTCACTTATTTATCATTTTTTATTCTGCGCAGAAGCAGATATTCTGAGCTTTTGATATTTCGAATAACAATGTAGAGATAGGGAAGCTGGATTTTGGAAGAAATCTCCCGCTTGGGCTAGTATGGGGTCTTATAGTGCAGACTATCCCGATCAGGCTATTGATGACAAAACCAGATATGAGATGGACTAAAAAAATTAAAGACGAAACGAAGTTATGGCCTGAATGACAAATAAAAGTAACTGATTGAGACAGTAGCGTGCAACGAGAACGCTGTGTTGCGTATATCGATCATGCCATATAGGAGAAGTGTGTACAATTGTTGAGCCACGAATGGGTGGAAAATGTGCGAGAAAATAATAGGCGAAAAAGAGTTGTACTTTAATTGAGCTACTATATAAATCTTAAATTAAGCTATCAGAAATATCCCATAAGACCCAGGTATATGCTGAACAAAAAATGCTTCTTATATAAATTTTATAAAAGACAGATAAGAGGCGCTAATTCGTTTTTTTTGTTTCGTTATTTGAACTACTAGTGAACATCGACTGGGTTTTAAAAGGGTGCGTTAAAGCTTGCCTTGTTAGTTTTTGCGATAGTAGCTGCAAGTACTAAAACTTTTTTCTTTTGACCATTTTGATATGCTTACAGCGCGAAATGTTGTCCTAGTGATGAGTGTATCAAACAGAGTAGTCGATAATGAGAAAATAGGAC